ATATATATATATATGTGTGTGTGTGTGTGTGTATGTGTGTCTGTGTGTGTGCGCGGGCGCGCGCGCGCGCGCGCGCGTGCTTGGGGTTGGCTGCGTGTTCCTGTGCGGGGCTTACTTTGCTGCCCTTAGCTACACCAAGGTGCAATCTCTATCGACGATGCACGCGACCTTATTCTCGACATATTGGCTGCACGATGTGATGTTCCCGAGGGCATGGTGGTACTCGACGAGTCCATAGACTTGCACCCGGCACTGTCGCATGTCCATCGGGGCAGGCGTCCACCGTTGCGTCCATGCCCTCCAACCGTACAGGGCCTTGTTCTTGGGGGTGGCAATCAGGTTGGCCTTGTCGTTCGTGCTGATCTTCCAGGCGATGTAGTCATCGGCCGTCGGGCCATACGCCAGCTCGCAGGACTTCCAGCTCTTGCTGCCTGCCGCTTGCTGCCAGGAGGAGCAGAAGTCCCTAGCGTCCCTTGTGCTGAAGAGCAGCTCATACGGATCGTGGTGGTACTCCAAGTGAACGCCGAAGAGGTCCGAGGCTTGATCTAGAGAGGCCTGGCAATCTGCTCGCTCGCAGCCATGGGCATAGGGCATCACGGGGACAGGCATCTGCGGGTCGGAGTGGTCCATGAGCACGGTGACCTTCGGCTCCCATACATGTGACTCTTGAGAGCCACTCATATCAATTTTAATGCGACTCCAACTACTTACAGGTCGACAGGGCAACCCATATCCAACATTACCCAGCTATGAACCTGAACAAATCCTGAAATCGGAGAGGCAATGGAAAGACCTAGTCGCAGGTGCATTGATGACATGGTAATTGTCAGTAAGAGCGAACCACGGCGTCGTCGCCAACTTGGCGACCTCGCACAGATGCATGTGGGGCTCCTGCGTTGCCTGCTGCGTGGTCACCATGACCTCGCCGCTCGGGGAGGCAATCTTCTCCACTGTCTTCTTACCGGGGAAGTACTGAAGCATCAGGATGTTCTTGAAGGGGTGGTTGCTACGAGTGGTGTTCATCATGTGACCTGTGCTTTGGTCGTACACCGCCACTCCCAAAGTGACCTGGTCGTCTGCAAGGCTGTGGAACAGATTTCTGTCAGAGCCATGGCGAATGTAGGTCGGGACATCGAAGCTGTGATTCAAGAGCGTGTTGGCCTGCGACGGCAACGTAGCATCTCCGCAAGGGATTTGGAGCGCGTTTGTTTAAACTAGTTCGCGCCACTGTCACAAGGGGAAAAGCTACCTGTAGCCGACCTAGCAGCATAGTTGCCAATGAGCATCGAGTTCCCAGAGTAAGTCGAATCGGTGCCCTTGCTCTGGCAGAAAGCTGCAGCAAGCTCGTTCTCGGTGCCGTCCATGGCCGCCTGAGCAGAAACGTCTAGTCCAACCCCTACCCCTGCACCGTCCGCATCTTCTTTCGCGACATATTTCGGCTGACAAGGATGGAACGCTCACTGTAGGCAGTGCTGAAAGCTGGGCCTGAGTGATCATGGCGAAGGCCACATCGAAGGCCATGCCCTCCGTCATGCGAACGTTGCCTTCCCCGGTGAAGGTGTCGTGCAAAAACTTGAGCCACGGATGTTTCCTTCTGTTGAGAGAAAGAGAGGGCGACAACGAACCCAAATGCACTGAAGCACAACCGTCAAGACTCACAACTGTCAAGACTCAACAAGCTCCGCTCAGGTCACAGACCCCGTGCATCCAACCAGCCCTTCAAGGTGAACCTGCCCAGAACCTGCCAAGTATCCGTCTCCTGCCAGCACAGATCAAGACAATAAACAACTCTGCCCAATTCCTCCCTGAACCTTCAACAGAGAACAACATTGTTCAAGAGCATAGCAAGGCTTCAAGTTGTAAATGGCATTGCCGTTGATGTGCTCGACCACATGGGCCGGCATCAGGTGCTTGAAAGCATCCCACTTGTGGCCCAAGTACTTGCTGCCGCGGATGGCCATGTTCTGCGTGGGCATCTCCAAAGCCTCTTTCTCGAACTGCTCCAGCCATCCGGCCTTGACGCAAGCCGCGCGGCGCTGCGCTGTTTAGGGTTTTTGGAGTGGAGACCTCTAAGACGGCATGAGATGGAAGCCTTCAGTTTGTCTGCAATGCGTTTTCCCGATTACGCCTTCGCACATGCCACTTAAGCAGCCGCTGCCTGCGATTACAGCAGCTCATAGCACTATACCCGCTATGCTGGAGCAACAGTGACAAGAGCTGTGCCCACACCCCATGCTCTTGGCATTATACATCCGAGAACAGAGAGACCTGAGGGTAGGTTTGGGTTATAAGGCTTATACTGGCTTACTGGGTCGGTCGTGCTGTCTTACGATTGAAAGCTTCACGCCTTGATGGGCACCGCATCCATCTCCATGAGGAAGAAGGAATCATACCCGCTGAGGTCTCCCGTGAGCATGGCCGACATGATGTTCGTGAAGACGGTGTTTGGGCCCTGGACCCAATGCCTTGCTTCGTTCGGGGGCTGAGGGGGAAGGTTGCTGTGGATGGCGGCAAGAAGTTTAGGACTCACAAGTCGTGTTTCATGTCGTTTTGCTGTGCTCCTACCCCCTCAAGCAAAGCTTCTTGTTCATGCTGTAGCCGTGAAAATCGTACTGGTCCTCCTCCGGCGTGAGCTTCACGGACATGTTCTTGATTTCCGCGAAACCTGCATGTCTAGCCATTGAAAACCCGACCCTTCTTCTAACACCGCGTATGCACCGAACCCTCGGTACTGTACTCTCCTATAAACGGTCACCATCATCTAAACCCCGAAGCGGGATTCCGCAGACTTTCACGGAGGTCACCCCACCCTCCCCGCCCGCAAGCCAGCATGACTCCATATGACTCCCCATGTCTTTACCTTGCCCGTGCTGCTGCAAGCAAGCTGCATGACATCCAGCCCAAGCTCTTGTTGGCGAACAACTCCGAGAGAGTTGCCTCAGATGTTTCAGCGCCGGGCTGATCACTTGCGCCCGCAACTTTGGCGGGTCTGGCAGCCGTAGAGGTTCCGAAACCCTTTCGCGCCCTTGCACTCCTTTCCTCCGAAACCGGGAACCCTCAAGCAGCCAAAAGCCCACCGGCCACCAGACTTCCACAGACTTCCGACACGGTATCTATGTTTGAGAAGATTGGGTTGCGAGAATGAAGCAGAGCATCCACGACGGTGTGCGCATTGTCGGGGGTTGCATCCATGTACCTCTCCGACTCGATGTCCTGCACGGACCCGGGACAGCGATTTTTCCCCACATGCCGGCCCCCCTTTTCTTATGTAGTTTGCCTTCGTAGTTTTCTGTTGTGCTGCACCGTGTTTTTGGAAATGCTGACGGTGTTTCTTGATTCTGTTTATGCTGCCCCGTTTCTCCTGTCATGCTAGAGAATTCTGTTCCTGCTTACCTTGAACCAGCAGAACAACATAGAACAGCTTTAAGGCCCCAGCAAAACTTCGCGATGCGCTGCGCCACCTTCCACCCCCCCCTCCACCCCCAACCCTCTGCGAAATATGACAAAACCAATCCCAACCCCTCTTCCCTCCCTCGCCCCCCCACGCCTCGGCCCCCCCCCCCCCCCCCCCGCTCCCGGTACGTTTGCATCAGCCCTATCCAACCAAGCAACACACAAAGGGGAGCTGCGCCGCTCAACCCCGCAAAGCCAAACCTATCTGCAAATTTCAGGCCGGCCTGTGTGCAGGCATCAGCCCAATCACAGACAACCCAACCAAGCTAGGTCTTTCTATTCACATCTCACCCTCGCTTCACAAACGAGACATTCGAACCCAAAGCACTTGGTGGGGTGGCAAATGGCCCCGGGGCCCCCCCCCCCCCCCCCGCCCCCCCGCACCATATTTTCACAGGCCGGGCACGATTGCGTTGCCCCCCGCCCCTTCCCACCGCTACGTGACAAAGCCATGCCATTGCACGCCAGGCACGTCTGCATGAAAGCCCAGCTACAATCCACGAAGCCATGTCTGTTAACAAAGTCCCGTTCTCTTCACAAGTAAGAACTCAGCCACAGGCAAAAACATGTTTTGAACCCAAACAAAAAAAAGGATGAAGGTCCCGAGTCCAGGGTTGTTAGGGCTTGGGGTCGTCCTCAACGACAAGCCTAGCCTGCCTAAAGCCACACATACATACATACATGCACACACACACACACAACTCAAGACAAGCCTACCCGGGCCTACCCCACACTACACCCACTCAACCTTAAACCCTAGGTATGTTGCTTTGCCAGGGAGAAGCTGGCTGGGCTCCGTGTCCACGAGCCCGCCTGGATCCCACGAATCCCCGTGATATGGAAAGCGCCCGCATGCGCCTCGTCCTGACCCTAAAGCTATTGCTTTGATATCAGGAGGATGTTCGAGGGCTTCTAGAGGGGGTTAGTTGCAGCACGCCGTTGTTGTAGTACCAAACGATCAGTGCCAACTCAAGCGGCTCAAGCGTTGAGCAGCTCAGTTCGCTCTCGGGTCATGATAAAAAAAATGAACACGTCTCGCCCTTGGTTCTGGCAAAAACGCACCAGGCCCCGCCAACGCCAAATCGCAGCCGGCGCACCCCTGCGCCTCATATGATCCCTCCCCCCATGCTGACGCAAAGTCCTTGCTGTAAACGAGGACCAAGTCGATGGGCTGCGAGATCTTGGCAGGGTCGCACGGCCGGGTCTTCTCCCACGTCCTTCTTTGGCAGGTCTTGGCTTGGCATGCAGGCTTGCAGATTGCGGGCGGGTGCAAAGTTCTCAAATTTCCAAAGTTCGGAGAAAGGCGTCCCTGCTCGGAGTCCTTTCAAACAACCCTGTCATGTCCCTGGGCGTGCGTGTCATTACCAGTGACTTCGGGAAACAGTTCGTGCTTCAGCTGGGCCAGAGGCCGCGCTGGCTCGACAAAGAAAGGGTGCAAAAAATGAATCTGAGCACGGCGTCGTAGTGGACAGCAGCAAGGCATTCACTTCGTCGGCTGTCGAGAACACCCGGACGACAGCCAGCTTTGCCTGCGCAAGCGTGGGTTTGGCCGGGTTCGAGGGACTTGGATAGTTATAGAACGGTATGTATGCACATATGTATGTATGCATATGTATAAATGTATGTATCTTCTTCATATTGAGGATAGGTCGGTATTGGCTGTGGCTGTGGTTGTTCGTTGTTGTCGTTGGCGTTGTCGCTGGCGTTGTCGTGGTGACCCTGGTCGTGATGATCGTCGCAGTCGCCGTCGCCGTCGCCGTGTATGCTTGACATGGCACTCCCAACAGGAAAGTGACACGTGGTGGGATAAGGCCCACCTCCCTTCACATGCTCATCCACGAGGATGAGCTGGCCTGATGGCTGCCAACGGCAGCAGCACACCGGTACCCACCTAAACCCACTAGTGCCAGACCAGTCCCCCGCGAAAACCGGGCTAGGGAAGGCAGGTTCGGGCGGTGACTGGCGTGCCCAACATAGACTCACCAGATGGGAGAGTTCCTGCAACTCGCTCCGAGGATGTAGATGTCTGCACACGGGCAACCACCTAGACCCCAGCGCCTAACCAGCCACCGACACTAAAACCCGGGCTAGGGAAGGCAGGTTAGGGCGGTGCTGGCGTGCCCCCCTCAAGCTCACCAGATGTGAGCGCGCCTGCTGCCTGCCTCAAGGGCATGCATAGATGCACACGGGCACCCACCTAAACCGCCAAGAGCCTAACCAGCCACCCAGACCAGGAACCGGGTCAGGGAAGGCGGGTTAGGGTGGTGACTGGTGCGTCCCACATGAGCTCACCGGCTGTGAGCACGCCTGCTGCGGGCCTCGACAGCCTGCAGAGATGCACACGGCTACCCACCTAAACCGCTAGTGCCTAGTCAGTCGCCCAAACTACAAACCGGGCTAGGGAAGGCGGGTTAGGGCGGTGACTGACTTGCCTGCAGCAATGGGAAGCCCACGCAGCATCGCTACAGCTGTTCGCGCACGCGCTCGCGCACAGCAGTGTCGCCGACACCGTCGCCGTCGCCGTGGCCGTCGCCGCCGCCGCCGTCGCCGTCGCTGTCGCCGCCGCCGCCGCCGTCGTCGTCGTTGCAGCTGCCGTCGCCGTTGTTTATTGCTGTGTTTGGCGGTGGCAGCGGTGTTGGTGGTGGTGCTGCTCCCCCCTCAGCTTTGAACGTTGCTCCTTCTTATTGTCTCTTGTGCAAACGCTGTGCCCGTAAGCCACGGCGCCTGGGCCACGTAGAAAGCCCAGCCAGCGAGGAAGAGTCGCCTTGCAAAAGGGTGCGGAGAGTTTAACATTTCGAGTTTAGGAGTTGGATACTTGAGAGGCAAAAGCCGAGGTCAACGACAGCTTGCCTGGATTCTAGGCGACATAATCAAGGCCGGCTGTAAGCAGCGTTTCCAGGAAAAGTAGGAGTTCGATATGCGGTTCTTCATTACAACAGGGGTCTGGCAACAAGATGAACGAGAGTGCCCACTGCAAACATCCGGTATGCGCAAGGCCTTCCGATGTTCAACATCATCAAACTCGACGGTGCTTGCTTTTGGGCTGCTGGTGCGCAGTCGAGTTTGGAACTACACGCTGCAGCACTCACGGTCGCTATGCCCAAGCCGAACGACATGAACCTCATGAAACCCTTTGAGTACGCCACCAACGAAGCCTATAAGGCCCATGGAAGGACAGCACGCTCAAACCCTTGACGAAACGCCAGACCCCTGTAGGATGTGGCCGTCTTCAGCGATGCGTGCCCAGGCGCCTGCGCAGCCCCATCGCCGGAATGGTAAAGATGCGACAGCTTATAAAGCAGGAAGCCAAAACTCTGCAGGCTTGTGAAGCTTCGGATCGAGTTGGGCTTCGTTTGAGAGCTATGCAGCACGAAGCCGTGACACTGTATTCTTACTCTGACCCCCCGGCAGATCACCGCCTTTCTAGGATTTGCTGGGTTTTTCAAAGCTTGGGTTCTTCATTCCGCACAATGAGGTCGCGGCTACACTGTGAAACCCCGTTGCAGGGTAGGGGTAAGCGGGAGAAGGGGGGGAAGCAGTTGAAGGGGCAGGGGTCAGGTTTAGCGTGTTCATTTTCTATAAAACTAAGCTGAGGCTCTTTCTGTCCCAATCTTATCCATAACAAATCGTACTCCCGGGTCTTGGTGGCTCTTTTTGGCCTATTCTTATCCATCACAAATCGTACTCAGGGTCTTTTCACATTCCTAGAGCCACGATTACGTTGGCAGCACAGGCTTTTGGGATTCATCACAAACTAGCCTCATCTGCGCCCTGATGACCAAACAACTCGCGCCAGAGCTGCCCCCTCTCCCCCACACAATGGTCAATTTGCCAGGAGAAGTTCGCCACGCGAGGCTCCGAGGCATGGGCCCTTCAAACAGGTTAAGATTCCAGGATTTTGAGGTCTGACCTCTAGGGGCCCCCGCCCTATTTGCACGAAGGGAGTGCAAATTTAGACAATCACCAAATCCTACGAGTACGAAGAGAGGGGACATACGACAAACCTCTATTGGCGGCAAACCACCCCTGCCAAATACATCTACACCCCCATGAATGCACCGATTCAAGCGAAGCCGAAGAAAGCACTACCAAATCAGAATTCCCCAGTGAACACGGTGGGCGGAGTGCCTTTTTGGACAGCACCAAGGCATGAGTAAAAACTCAGTTTTGCGAAGGGACGCTAGGGTCAACCTGGCCCTAGCAAACAAATTGAAATCCAGCATCCCCAATGAACGTATGCGCCAATCAAAGTCTGCGACATATATCACAAGCTTCCAATATTTCTGCAAGTATATAGTGACCCAGGCATGAACTGATGTCCGTTCACAGAACTGTTTGACTCGGGCGTTCCAAAATATATAAAATTTCGTGTTTTGGGGCGTTCCAGTCAATGCGCGCCAGGACCGACAATGGGTCGAAGTAAACGACGATGCTCCACATTCAATTTGTGCGATTCTGTTCGGTGGATTGTTCTGTAACCGGCTGCAAAAGAGGCAATGGGACCGATAGCCCGAGATACGATTTGCATAGATCCGACTCGTCGATCAATGATACCTCTCAACGATGCCTGAACGATCAGAGCTAGGCAATGTCTTTTATAGTAATGTAAGTCGCGCGTAAGGCACGTGTAAGGTGCGCGTATTGCGCGCGTATTGGCATATTTGCATAGTGTACCGGCCCAACGCATTCTCCCATACTTTTCAGGATAGATGAGCCCGTTGTAATATGATTGAAGTTCCGCTTGACCCAGCACGTTCTCTCACGCGCGTCTTGATAGCTGGTGAAATGATTGAAGATTCTGAATGATCCAGAGCGTTCTTCCGCGATCACCATGACAGTTGAGTCGCCCATCCATACATTGGCACTCTACTAGATCCAGAGTATTCTCCTGCATTATTATGATGCTATATGATAGCAGAGTCACTTGTGCAGTTTATAGCATTCTGCCCGACCCAGAAAATTCTGCTTGACCCAGCGCAATCCCCCGCATTTGTCATAATACGAATCGCCCGTGCAATGATACAATTTCTTTTGCACAAAATGATTTCTTGAAAACCGATAGAGAAAGTAAGATTAAATTGAAGAGGATATCATCTTCTCATTCAATACGAAATTGGCATTCGATGTTTTTAATATATTCCCAGAATCTTATATTTGCCGAATTGTTTTCCAAGAGCCAGTAATTATTGATCGATGAAGAATTCCAAAATAGAATATCATCGAGAAGTCCCCGTCAGAAATATCCTGGATATTTTTTCTATATATATATGTATACATATAGATATAATTTTGCATAGTCTAATGTTTATACTGTAATGATTACCCCTAATGTCGGAGTAGGATTCGGCAGAGCTAGACCCCATAGTTCATCATGAGCCTGTAGCACACAAGTACCTGACGTGCAGACAATGGGGGGGGACCTTCAGGGTTTAGGGTTTAGGGTTTAGGGTTTAGGGGTTTAGGGCCTGTAGGCACAGATATTCAAAAGGTACTTTTTACAGATCCCAGGATCGATGAGTAAACCATGAAACCCACATGGAACAGTCGAGAGACAAGCAATGCGCCGTCTTACACTTTTTGTGTCAACGAGAAACCAGCTTCTTCGATGTCCAAGTGGCACGATGAACTAGAGGAAACATGCCTCAGCAGCAGTTGCCCTGCCATGCGTACACGAAGTTGCAACAACAACTGTTGACGCAAGCATTTCCGATCAGTCACGTAATCTTTCCGGGGTCGACTGGCCCACGGGAGCACCTGAGCCAAACATCACCAAAGTCGGCGACACAAATACAACGCGTGACTCCATTCACTTGGGGCTCCAACTCCCAGCAGCGCTGCCGAGAGCTTAGAGAAGTCAATTCCTGGTAACTTTGCGGCCATTCCCATCCTTCCCGATTTACCATCATCTTCTGATGCAAGATGTGGACAGATTCGGGGGTTTACGACAATAGGGACCCCGAAAATCGTCCCCCAAAGTATTGTCCCCTTAAAAAAGGACCCCAATAAGGTACCCTAATAACGTAACCCCCATTTGGCAGATTGCCAAAGACCTAAACCCTAAACCCTAAACCCTCAACCCCTAAACCCTAAACCCTAAACCCTAAACCCTAAACCCTAAACCCTAAACCCTAAACCCTAAACCCTAAGCCCTAAGCCCTAAACCCTAAACCCTAAACCCTAAACCTAAACCCTAAACCCAAAACCCTAAACCCTAAACCCTGCCTTGTACAAGGACCGGTCCACCGAGCGGACCGGTGGCAGTTTCATCGGCGTGTGAAGGCTGTGGCTCGCCGCTGCTTTGCTGCAGCGCGTTTTCCTGCACACAGCACTATATACTATATATATATATATAAAGAAGAAGAAGAATGATTATCATGATAATCATGATATTCACGATCACCATCATAATCATAATAATGATCATCATAATGATCATAATACTCATAACCATCACAATAATCATCATCATCATCATCATCATCAGTATAATCATCATAACCATAATCAAAGAAGAATGATTATCATAATAATCATAATCATCATAATCATCATAATGATCATAATCATCATAATCATCATAATCATCAAAATCATCATAATAATCATAATCATCACAATAATCATAATAATCATAATAATCATACTAATCATACTAATCATGCTAATCATACTAATCATAATAATCATAATAATCATAATAATCATAATAATCATAATAATCATAATAATCATAATAATCATAATAATCATAATAATCATAATAATCAGAACAATCATAATAATCAGAACAATCATAATAATCATAATAATCATAATAATCATAATAATCATAATAATCATAATAATCATAATAATCATAATAATCATAAGAATCATAATGATCATAAAATTCATAATCATCAAAATAATTCGCCTCGGCTTCCTGCCGAGAAGCGTTCGGAACAAGCAGACCCGGATCCACTAACCCAACCCTTCCCCCCGTACCAAATTTTGTGATGCACCCCCCCCCCCCCCCCCCCCCCCCCGGGACTCCCCATCGCTTGGAGGAGCTGCAAGCCGATGCCGTTGGGGGGTCTCACGTGTCTGAAAAATCCTTGCTGGGACGAGGGCCCCCCTGAAACCCCCGAGGCGGAGCGTTTACAATTATAAGCATCATAATTATCATAACAATCATAACAATCATAACAATCATAACAATCATAACAATCATAACAATCATAACAATCATAACAATCGTAACAATCATAACAATCATAACAATCATAACAATCATAACAATCATAACAATCATAACAATCATAACAATCATAACAATCATAACAATCATAACAATCATAACAATCATAACAATCATAACAATCATAACAATCATAACAATCAGAACAATCAGAACAATCACAACAATCACAACAATCATAACAATCAGAACAATCATAACAACAATAACAATCAGAACAATCAGAGCAATGATAACAATCATCACAATCAGAACAATCAGAACAATCAGAACAATCAGAACAATCATAACAATCATAACAATCATAACAATCATAACAATCATAACAATCATAACAATCATAACAATCATAACAATCATAACAATCATAACAATCCTAACAATCCTAACAATCCTAGCAATCCTAACAATGCTAACAATCCTAACAATCCTAACAATCCTAACAATCATAACAATCATAAACAATCATAAAAATCATAACAAGCATAACAAGCATAACAATCATAAGAATCATAACAATCATAAGAATCATAACAGTCATAAGAATCATAAGAATCATAATAATCATAATAATCATAGTAATCATAGTAATCATAGCAATCATAATAACAATAACAAAAAACAATAACAACAACAACAACAACAACAACAACAGCAATAACAATAACAATAACAATAACAATCACAATAACAATAACAACAACAATAACAATAATAATAAAACACAAAAACCACAATAATCACAATAATAACAATCATAACAATCATAACAATCATAACAATCATAACAATCATAACAATCATAACAATCATAACAATCATAACAATCATAACAGTCATAAGAATCATAAGAATCATAACAATCATAATAATCATAGTAATCATAGTAATCATAGCAATCATAACAATCATAACAATCATAACAATAATAACAATAATAACAGTAATAACAATAATAACAATAATAGCAACAATAACAATAATAACAATAATAACAATAAGAACAATGACAATAATAATCACAACGATAACAATACTAACAATAATAACAAAAAACAATAATAACAATAATAACAATAATAACAATAATAACAATAATAACAATAATAACAATAATAACAATAATAACAATAATAACAATAATAACAATAATAACAATAATAACAATAATAACAATAATAACAATAATAACAATAATAATAATAATAGTAATAATAATAGTAATAAAGAAAGCTGCCTGGCAATTTTTCCACACCTTCTAAGATACAAGAACTGTCAGGGCCTGATTCTCCGCTGAAGGATCCTGACAGGCGAGGAGTTGATGCCATTTGGTAGTGTAAGGCGATGATGACAGGGACGATGATGTGGATATTCATGTTGAACGTGAAAACAACTTTGAACTGTCATGGCATTTGCAAGGGCAAGGTGACTGTCAGGCTGGTGCTCCAACAGACTTAAGACATGTGCTCCAAGCAGCCAACCTTCTCGAAGGGCTTGCGGAAGGGTTCTGGCTCCTCAACAATGACATGCCCCTTTCGGGAACACACCCGCTGATGCTGACTCTCACTTTCAGCATTTGAGGCGATGCCATTCTGACAGGCTTTTCGGCCAAACTTGCAGGCTAGCACACTCTGCGCAAGTTGCGGACACGCAGCCCTTGTGCCAGGCCTGTGCCAAAAAAGATCCCCTTTGTTGCCATGAACGAGCACGGAGCCAGCTGCCGGCATTTTTGCTTGCTTCTTTCTTCGGGCAGTGCCAGATACTGATGTTTGGGTCTTGACAGCAGGGTTGATGTTTTGGGCGGTAGGAGCCTTTTTTTGCTTTCCGGAGTTTCTTGGGCTTCAGCATTCGGCTGCCGTTGGCTGCAGGGGTGCATGCACAGGAGACTTGGTTAAGGGGTTTCATCGGGCTCCAGGCTCAGGCTCAGGAGTGGGCAAACCGGGTTTTGGATGTTCGTGTGTTGGCTCGGCTCTGGCATGCTCGCAAACTCGCAAGAGGGTTTGTGCATAGTAGGCACATTGACACACTTATGGACACCAGACGGAGACCCAAGATGGGAGGAAACGGACGGTCGGGTATGGGCATTCCGGCGGATCATTCGATCAGAGCCGAGACAAGCCAAGCCACAACAAATGCCCCTTGCCTTCAGGAAGGCCGCTTTCGTTTCCAGGGCGTCAGCATTCGGCTGAACGCCCATACAGTAGCATACGCTGTCCAGTAGTAAATATTCTGGCTGGCGTAAGTTGGGTCCTTAGCTCTCGTTGCTCATCTCTCTTCTCTCGCTCCCTGCCTTGTTTTACGTTATTCCTTGCGTATTTCCTTTGCTCCGTTCGTGTTCCGCGCGCGCGCGCGTACGGTGCTGTCTGTTCCTCCCCTCTCTTCTCGGAAGCTGGCGAAGGAAAAGGAGAACTTGCGCACAGGGAGAGCTCAAAGCTCAAGAAGGAGGAGGTGCCGGCCCGACAGTGAAACACCTCCCAACCCCAGTTCTGGACTTCTGAACTCAGGCTCCTCGAAGGAAGCTGTCGGGAACAACAATACGAACAATAATGCACGAACCTCAAAAGGAAGAGGTGGAGGTTTTGGATGTGGGAAGAGCCCGAATGAAGCACGCATTCTGAAAGAATGATTACCAGGCTCCTGTTGCATCTCTACGCCACCCTGCTGATTCACGGCCTCGCAAGGGCGCGCATGTGGCTGCTAAAGAAAGACGGCATGCAAAGTATGCCCTTCGCTGCTGGCCTGTCTCTCCAGTTCTAGCTCCTGTAACACTTTGATCTTCTCTTCAGGTGCAGGAGGGACCTCGACACGTGTGTCAGACGTCACTTCCATTGCGTTACGGCGGGATATCTGAGACCTGGGCACAGAAATCCCACGTGCGTGTACGTGCCCACTCGGTTCCTTCTGGCGTGGCCTCGTCTAGATCATCCTGTGCCGTGGGGCAGACGTAGTGCGACCCACTGGACGGTGTTCGCACGCAGAGACCTTTGCCCTCTTTGGGAACAACCATGGCTTCAAGCGTCATCCGATCCCTGCGAGGCACCTTATTCCAGTTGAAATTGCCATCCTTATTCCAGAAGTCTGTGTCGTCATGATATTTCTGCACGATGTCATCTCTTCTCTCGCAGTGTGCACCTGCATGGACCGTCTCAGAATTCTCCTTCGGTGGGCCACAATAGTCCCAGACTGCAGGGGGCTGTCCCGACCCAGCAACGCGATGGTCCGCTCCAGAAGCATCCACGAAGGATCTCTGAGACAGCAACGCACAAGGCTCTGTTCGGTTAATCTTGCACCACGGAAATTCCCGACCCCGCCCGGCACAGCGGGAGTGTGGAGCACAGTTGCAGCCTGCCGCGGTGCCTGCGACAGGCCCCGGAGGTGGAACATAGTCAGGTGGATTTGGGGCATCGAGCGCATCCAGCTGGTCCGGAGCTGGCCCAATGCCTATGCGTAGCAGGTCCAGGATAGGGAAGGTCCGCCGCTTTGCTATCCGGCTCGTCTGAATCAGCCTCTCTGCAGCATGAGCAGCAACACTGGCGTCATGGGCCACGGCGCTCAAAGCCTTCTTGCTCAACTTGTTGCACCGCTGTGATCTGTAGTGTTCACAGTCCTTCAGCGTTGCCAAGTTCCGATCCAAGTTTGCGAGTTGTCTCTTGAGACCTGTGGTGCTACGACGTCGCATGAGCACACGCAGCTCGTCCCTGAAGTTGCGGACCAAGTTGGTTGCTTTTTGCGTGTGAAGCCGCATGTGCAACACCTGCTCAGAGAAGAAGAGTAGGCAGATGTCAACCACTAGGGTTCCTAGTGGCTAAGGTACTCAACATGGAACAGGCAGAGAGGCGGTGCCAGAAGTAAACCAGTGCTGTTCTGTTTCGCATCTGCAAGCACAGCCTGCGCATCAGCTGCATTCCTCTCCGCGCGCTCTATAGCCTTGCCCGCCTGCACTTCAGTTGCGAAAGAAATGGGGAGGTGGATCGGTGAAGCAGACTGTGGTCGCGGCCTTCTTGCTGGCGATCTCCACAACCGAAGCTGGATCTGCCAGTGCCAGTTCCTAGAACTCTACCAAGATTTGAGCACTGATGCGCAATCCTTCTCAAGAAGCTGCAGAGTTAATGTTAACCTCATATTTATAAACACCCCCGTAATTAAAGAACTCGGATCCCGGAACTCAATTATAAACCCCCCCTCAATAATAAGAAATCCCGGCCCGGGGACCGATTTTTTCTATGGCTGTTTTGGGTAGGTCAGGGCTCCTCAATAGGCGGGGGGGGCGGAAACAAAAATCAATTGAGACGGGGGGGGCGGGGGGGGGGGGGGTTATTAATTCGAGGTCAACATTAACACCTACAGGTGTGTATCTGAACAACAAAGACAAGCCCCCGGCCCGTTGGGTGTTGAGGTTCTCGGCCTCCGCGTCAGCCTGCCGCACGCACAACTGGAAGGGCGGGAATTTAGAAGATTCTTTCAATGCAGGACTCCATAGGACCCTCCATACACGTCTGTCCTCGGCTTCCCTTTCTGCCTGGCCACCCGGGCAACTGATTGCACTAGAGCTCTCGGCATTGCTCGAATCACGTGAGAAAAACGAGGTGCGTTAGATGTTCATCCGTGCATCCTATCAAAATACGTCAAAGAGTGCGGTCGCTTCAGGAGTTGTGACACTTCTTCACATACGGCACAACATACATTGCTGCCGGCAATCGGGGTGGCCTCGGCCACCCACTGCCCCTCTTGGTCCCAGTAGCCGTTTTGACTCTGGTGGTACGTGCCTGCTGCTCAGAAGAGGCGCTAGGCATCTGAAGGCGGCCACGACGCAAAAGGGAACCCAAAGCAGACACAAGGTCCTGCATGATCCTGGAAGGAGACCTCAGGAGCATTTCGATTCTAGCAGGACACGCTGCGGTCACAGTGCCTGAGGATGTTACGGGCACTGCTGGCTGCGCATGTAGGTGGTGTCTCAAAGGAGTTCGGCGAGGGCATGAACCTGGAGTGTGTCGCAATGCTTCTGCAAGCATGAGCCAAGGTGCTTGGAAGGCATAAGCCCCATGCTTGCAAAGGCGTCATGTCCTCGGAGAACCAACGCGAGCAAGGCCCAGCGCATCTGCAAAACAGCCCCCAAAGACGGATCCACGTCCTGCATCGGAACCGCCAACATCCAGGGCAAGCAGCCGTCCCATGACACCGCTCGTGCTGCGAGCTGGTCTTGGTAGATCAACGACTTATGTCACTCTGGCATCTACTGGGTGGGTGTGTGTGGGTGTGTGTGTGTGAGGAGAAATGGCAGCCCTTGCTACCCGAACCCTAGGTCCAGATGGCACCTGGCTCGCCGACATCCAAGGTCCAAAGGCAATCTAATCCGCAGCACCCAAGTTCTCTCACTAAGCCTGTACTTACTTGAGCATGCATCATAATGCCGAGTCCTTTTTCCCGCTCCAGGCTGCAGCACGATGATAGTCACACGATGGCATCTCACTTCATGAAGGTCTGAGGGCGCTTGGCCTCCACACAAGCCAACTTTAATGGAGACGAGTAACTTGGATCGGAAGGCTTGATGCAATCATTCCAAAAGATTCAACGGGCAGCTGAAGGAATGGTGCTGTAGACCATCGGAGCCCCGAAGCGATATGGTAGAACCCTCCATGGGGGTCCTCTTGGACTCCTCTGTTGGGCTCTCCTTAAAGCCCTAGATCCCATAACCCTTAACCCTAAAACCCTAAAACCCTAAAACCCTAAAACCCTAAAACCCTAAAACCCTAAAACCCTAAAACCCTAAAACCCTAAAAACCTAAAAACCCTAAAACCCTAAAACCCTAAAACCCTAAAACCCTAAAACCCTAAAACCCTAAAACCCCAAAACCCCAAAATCCCAAAACCCCAAAACCCTAAAACCCTAAAACCCTAAAACCCTAAAACCCTAAAACCCTAAAACCCTAAAACCCTAAAACCCTAAAACCCTAAAACCCTAAAACCCTAAAACCCTAAAACCCCAAACCCTAAACCACGGGGCCCAAGGATCTTCCGAAGCCTTGAAGGTGGTGCGAAGCTTCTTGGCCGCATGGGGGATCTTCCTGGGAGTTGGCTTTAGGGGAGCCCCCTGGGATCCTCAATCCTCAAAGCAAAGACCTCCAGGGGGAGCCTTGCCTAACCTTTTTGTGAACCGGGACAAGGTCGTTTCGGCTGCGGTGGCTCTACAGTAAGATGGTCGTACAGAGCTTCTGGTGCCAGTTGGCGTCCCGGCTCTTCATGGGTGTCAGCTGCTATACGCAGTCACCGCGAGACTCCTAGTCATGGCTCATGACCTTCGGCGTTTCAAGCACACAACGTTCCCAACCGACAAAAAGGGAGGAAGCAAACTTAGCAAGACCAAACCCGGCGACAACCTGAACTGCGAAGGGTCCTGACGACGGGGAACTTGAGCTTGCGGTCGTGCATCTCCTGACGTTCTGCTGGGCTGCGCGAGACGATCCCAAGAAGGCACAAGGCAACTCTTGTGGTCCATCACGTGCTCACGGCGGCACTTGTCGTCGGGGATAGTAGTGGCCTCATTGATCATGAGGAAACAGGTTCCAACAAAAGAGGGTGTGCCGCGCCGCGCTGTGCCATGAAATTCTCTCAAGGCCCTGCAAACATCTCAGGTCACGGCATGGATGATCTGGATGGATCCAGGGTCTGCCCGGTGTCGGCCCGCCATCTCCTGGTACCTCCACAGCACTGTCAGAGTCACCGCCGCATCAAAGCAGTCAAGATGAATTGGGCTGCTGATCTAGCAAATCTAAGGTGGCGCACAGCTGCCCCACGGCGCCATTGATGTTCACGTTGCGGAACTCCTGATGAGCGGGGATGCAGTTGTGAGCTGGCCAAATCCACGGAGACAACCGCCTTGTACATGTTGTGGGTGTTCGTGCGGCTGTCGTATCGCAGCCAGATTCCGTAGTTCTTCACCTGCAGAGCCCGTCACGTGCTCATGGCGGAAGGCTTCAGCGCGTGCTGGTCGTGTGATGTTTGGACACATCCATCCTTGGCGAATCTTGGCAACCTTGATTTGGGGTTCAATAGGTTCCGAGTTCTTCTAGGTGGGGCCTTGGGTGGGGCCTTGCCTTGGTAGGGGAGGTGTCGTGCAGCTCATTCACGGACAGCAGCTCACCGCCACTCTTCTTCGCCTCTTGCATCGCATCTGAGGCTACAATTCTCAACAAGAACCCTCCATCAGTCCACAGACGCGCTTCTCTCGCCTTGTTGAGCCTCTTCATGAAGTACCAGAAGCGGGACTTTGCCAAGACCACATTGCGAGCAAAAATCCTAGCAAGCTGGATGAGTGCGCATTGTCCGGGTGCGGTTTGAGGGCATGCCCCGGGTCCTCATTCGGTAGATCTTCGGCGTTGGGTTCTTCGGGGTGGGCGCGGCACGGCCGACGATCTGGTACTGATGCATGGTGGCCTGGTGCCAGTTCTCTCCGGTAGGTCTGTCCACGTAAACCGAAACCAACCGATGTAGGAAACCGAAGGCGACGTGGCTGCGCAGGGAAGCACGTGGCGTGCTCGACAAGAAGTTACAAGGAAGCTTTGAAAGTGAATGCCTCCAGGGACTTGTCGATGGTGAATCCCTTGCCCATGGCCTGGCAGCTGCTTGGTCTGAGTTGCTTTGTTGCTTTACTTCCATCATTTTCACGGCCAGTTCCGTGGACTGTCGCTGACCCGCAAGCTTGCCTGCACACTTATTTTGCTGAGCCTTACCACAGACAACAGCCGAGATATCGAAAATTGAAAATCCCTGCCGGCTATCAAGAATGGCATAAAGGTGTTGTGCACCCAACAGAAGTTTTCAGCAATAAATGAGATAGGGGGCCTGAGAATGCACCCTCCCTCTTAGACAAACACCCAAATGGCAGACCAAGCTAAGCGTACACTCGACTCTGCTCGAGTCTTCTCAGCAGGCAGAGCATCCCGCCAAAAACGCGACGCCAGCACATGAAGCACAGCTCAACAGCACTTGAAGCACAGCTCAACCGATGTGGAAGGCACTTCAACAGAAGGGCAGTGCGAAGGGCTAAACCGCGGGCTGCGAAAGCGGGTCCAGTCTCTCCTTGAGCCAAGTCAACCCGACCAGAAGGCAGATATGCTTCAATGGCAAGGTCGAACTACTCACAGCCCTCCCCATCCCTCTAAGCCTGGCCCCCTAAAATTCCCCTACTCAGAACCAACTCGGGGCTTAGGGCTCAGCAGAAGGGAATCCACAGCCCCGTTGCATGAGGCATCCTGGGGGCTTGATACTCCAGGCTCCCCGTTTTGGCGCTGCACCTTCTTAAAGGAATCCCCGTATACACGGACCCGCCACAAGACAGGGTCTTTCATTTAGAACACCCACTATCTCGAAGGCACCCACCACATCCCCTAAAGACCGACAGCCCCAAACGCGATCCTAAACCCGCACATTTGAGACCCTGACCCTAAAACCTCCGAGCCAGGTTTGGGGCTCTGTGCTTCGGGGCTCTTGGGCCTAGGGCTTCGGGGGTGCTGAACCCTAAACTCTGTCGATTCTAGATTCTACAACCACACCTCGAGACCCCGGTGTTCTTTTTGCTCGGCTCCCCTTGCCAAGCGCGGAGGTCGACACTTGGAGCTTCCTGGGCGGCTCCCGGCTTCGTTTCGTTTTGCTCTCTGGGCTTCGGGCTCATGGTTTCATCACTTCAGATCTTCGGGCTTTTTAGGGCCTTTCTTCCCAACAAAATCTGGCTTAGGGTTTAGGCTCAAGGCTTTTTCGGGGGGGATGGCTCACAAGAACGGTGTAGTTTGCCAAGACCAAACCGAAAATGAATAAAAACAAAATCAAAAAGATGCAACGAGGTGGTGTGAGACTAAGTTTCGAAGGGCTCCACCACGGGTGCCTTGCTCTCGCCTTCCTCTCAGGCGCTGGGAATCCATCCCGGCAGTTCGCAGCCGCGAGGCCCACACCTCGGGTTCGGGGCACGTCGCATCTGTGGATCTCCCAGAGCATCCAGAGCTCTGAAACGCGCATCCCTGGGGGAGGCACGCTTTGTTGCCAAACTTGTCCTCGCAGCAGCTGGACTCCTGCGCACAGGGTGAGACTGGCCTGAGGCTCGAGTCTGCAACAGATTCAACCGAAGCCCTGAAGCATTGACCTCTTGTGTGTATGTGTGTATGTGGTTCCGCCTGGCCTCTGCGCAAGGATAAGTCCTTTAGTGTGGGCAAGTAGAAACGCTTTGGGTTTTTGTGCCGGAAAGGGCGGGCCCTTGGTCATGCCTAGAGTCTTAGAGTCTAGAGGGCGAAGAAGTTGGAAATGTCAAGAAAGTCCCCGTCCTGGCTACAACAAATGCGGCCGCAGCAACTGCTCGCTTGGTCACAGCACAGCCCATGGCAGCAAGTGCCCTGTTTCGGGCAGATGGTCCGTCCATACGGCCCTTGGCACACAGAGCCTAGACCCTAAACCCTGAGCCCTAAACCCTAAAACTGAGGGGAGGTGGCGGCACCAAAAAGCCGATGCTGGGACCTCACAGAGTTTCCGATGCAGGGGCGAGTGAGGCCCTCGTCAGGTGCGACGGGACAGCACTCCGCAAAGCCATCCGCACCAGGGCAGCAGGATCCCGCTGCACCTTAGGAGAGGCACATACTAGCACATCCTCACAGAAAGAGCACTCGACAAAATGTCATGGCCAGAGAAGAAGCCACAGAACTGCTGGGAAAAGCCGCGGAACTGCAACATTTGTGCCAGCTGCCATCCAGCGCCGGACAGCATCCCTTCAGCTCGTTCACCGCGACCCGCAGTTTCTCCAGCTGCCTTGGTTGCCCACATCGGAGAGCTCCACTTGCAATTCCGACAGCAGACAGCCCATTTCGTGCGGTCACCATTTTCGAAGCAAACGTGCCTCCACATGCCTCTAAGCCCTGGCCATAGCATGCCAAGGCGCGCATCCTCAGCACCGAGTGCAGGGACAGCGCAGAGGATGAGCCAAGCGGCGGGGCCGCCAAGGACCCGAAGGAAACGGCTCATGTGAGTACGCTTGCGGATCACCCTGATAAGTGCAAGAGTAGGGAACCGAACCTCGAAGAGTCAGACGTTTCTCAGATTTCTTGGGGAGTTTGAGACGACGACATTCGACAGTGCTGACTTGAGGTGCTCACCGCAAATCAACCACTGTATACTAATATGCTTCCTACTTTTCTTAATACGAATACGTGTTCTATTCTCCATGGAAAGTACTGGACGAACTAAAATGGATATTTCGGGCTATGAAAAATCGTTGTGATTGACTTCTGCAGGAGGTCGGTAGGAATCCAAATCACAAGATTCCGTGGCTACTTGAAGCATGGAAAAAAAAGGATGCTGGATGAAAGCAGACGCCCACGCTCCCGCTACTTGTAGCAGTTTTTAGCTGCTTGAGAGAAGGGCCATCCAAGCGGAACATGTTCGGGCCCGAGGCCCCAGAGCCAGCACCTGCTGTTGACTGCACCTTCGATTTGCGTCTTCTATTCGCAGCAGCGTGCAGACACAAGGAAACTCATCGGCTTGGTCAAAGCGCAACCATTGCTAGGCTGTCACTTCTCGTGGAAGACACGGCCGTCACGCCCGCTGTGGACGACTTGCCTAAACAGATGCCATGCTGTCACAAGTTTTGTGGCTGCGGAACAAGCAGTGCCTGAGATTGGATTTGAATTGGCTTCTGAAGACGGTCCAACAAGTTCCTCGGCTCCACCGAGCACGCAGAAAGCGGAACTTCACGGTGCAAGTCTGGCTGTGGCAGCGGCGATAGGGCCTGTCGTTCGCGGTGTGGCCTGCTACGTTGGGGGGCTGCGGCGACCACAAGACACGTTGCTGTCGCAGCTAAGAATCTGCAAATGAAGGGCATGATGCCACATAGTCTGAGCGTCGCCTCTCTGGCCCCGCACCACGCCCTCCACCTCGCCCACCACGCCCAGTTCCTTTGGCTCCTGGCAGGGCCTGGCACGACACATATGACACGAAACTTAGGCACAGACAGGGGCGCCCTCTACGTCTGTAATGCTCTAGAAAATTGCTCTCGCGCTCTGCCTGGTTTGCAGTTGCTGCCGCAAATGCACTTGCTGCTATGCGGGATGCTTGGAACCTGATTCGGCTCACAGCGCTTCCACACACTCCGCGGGAGGGTGTCAAGCTAGGCGCCCAGCTCTTCAGGATTGGTTGCAGGTCGCCGCCTGACATCGCCGATTTCCTTGTCATGCAAACCACAGCCACAAGGCAGTCTGCGGGCTCTCCGACACTCCCTCGAGTCCTTCTTCGTCGAAGCCGGCGGAGCCTGCTCAACAACATAGAGCTCACATCTTGCCAGAGATGCACAGTGATGACATTCCGCTTTTGTGGGAAAATGTGAGAGAGAAAGGTGTCCCCGTGTTGCCTCCAACTGTGCGTCGTTACCCACTAGTATGTGTCTAGCAAAAGTTCTTCAGCCCCCTGTTGATAAGGTTGATCCGGAATATGCGAAGTTTCGGGGCCAGGGACCCCAAGAAAAACCTGGAGTCCTTTGAACCCTAAGGCCTGAAGCTTTAAGCCTGAAACTTCCAGATTCAGATTCCCAAAACTTCTGGAACCGTGCTTCATATTAAATTCCTTCCAAAGCGCTCTACGAAACGAGGCCCCGCAAGGATTCTTTTACAAGGGGGTAGCCCACGAGCCGCACTCGTGCACTGTAATATCTTGTGTGGGTGGTCCGGAATCATCCCCAGTACCGGGGCCGGAGGCCCCAGACTAAACCGAGCACAACATTAGCAGGTTCCCTAAACCCTAAACCCTAAACCCTCAACCCCTAACCCCCTAACCCCCTAACCCCTAAACCCTAAACCCTAAACCCTAAACCCTAAACCCTAAACCCTAAACCCTAAACCCTAAACCCTAAACCCATTCAGACCGAGAGCCAGGCCTGGGGAGCCTTCAGGTGTCGCTGCTTGCTCCACCAGTTTCCGTGCTGGTGCCACGTCCTCTGCCAGGGGGGGTTCGAAGGCACCAAAGGGTTTAGGGTTTCGGGTTTAGGGTTCAGGGGTTTAGGGATTTAGGGATTTAGGGTTTAGGTTCAGGGTTTAGGATTCAGGGTTTAGCGGGAGCGGCTGCTTCTTGTTCGTGTCTCTGTGTGGAGAGGCGTGGCGCTTCCTGACCATGCGCCTCAACCTCTGCCTGTGACATGTAGCAGGAGACACACTCTCCATCTGAGCAGCCGGCTCCATGTCATCCTGCAAGCACTCCCCCCATGCAGAGACCCAAGCAGCTTCATATGCTTTTGTTGGGGTTTTCGGGAACTTGTTGCAGGCCCGCCTTGGGTTTAGTTTCCTCGGCCATCTTGTCAGAGCCTTCGCCAGGAGGAGGCTGCGGCTGCAAAGACCCCCCAAAGACACTGGCATTGCCCTGTCTAGGGGACAGGCCCGGTGCCACATCCTGGGCAGACACCTGAACATAAGTAGAAGGGAGGAAGGAAGAGAGAAAGCAAGATAGCGGGAGAGAGAGGAGCGAACAGGGAAAACATGCAGGAGTGGAAGGCGATCCAGCAACACTCAAATGACGCAGGGTCAAGGCCGAACCGAGCGCTCGGCTCCATCTAGGGCATCCTCCTGCCAATCTGCCTTGAAGACGGCACCATCAGCATAGACCTTTGCAGTGAGGCTCCTTTTCCCTTGCAGAGTCCCAAGAGTCAGCAAAAGGTCGGCACAAAGACATCGCGACCGTGCTTCTTTCCGGCCTGGCATTCCGCATAGCAGCGCCAGGCGCTAGGCACAGTAAACCGCTAACATCACAACGTCGAGCACTTGCCCCTCCTCGTTTGGCAGGGATTGAATTGCGCTTGGCTGCGACCTCGAGACCGGGGTGGTGCAGCTTTAGTAGTTTGGGGGAAAGGCTGCTGCACACACTCATCACTCCCGCTGTTCGGGACCCTGACGAGCCAGAGCGTTTCACTTTAGCCGCCTGCCACCACTTCAAGACCCCATAGCGAACAGGTTCCAGAGCTCTGGCGGACGGTTTTTCACAGTGGAAGCAACCAAACTGCGGTCCAGACTGCCCGAAACCAATTCCCATCGACTTGTCCAACCTACACCGCAAACCTTGAACCCGAAACCCTAAACTCCAAAACCCCAAGTGGGCCATCCTGCACTTGGTCAGCTTCGTCGTCCAAAGTGACGCCTGCCGTCGACGTCACCAGACATCGCCACGCTCTGATGCAAATAGGTCAACTTGCAACAAGACAAACTCCTTCGAGACCAAGGCCCTGTACCCGAAATCGACCCTAAACCCTAAACTTTGCGCGGTTGCAACCTAGACCCTTGCTGCACCCCCATCGACAAAGCTCCCCGCATGTCCCCACAAGCCAGCTGCACCAATGCCCAGGCACTGCGCCGGAATCCATCCCTGCGACGATCTGGAACTGTGGCGATTGCAGGGTTTAGAGCCCCTTTTGGAAAGGAACCTTTCTCAAGTCAGGAAAGGAGGCCGGTCGTCTTCACACCATTGACAGAGTTTGTTGTATCAAGAAAAGAGCCGCCCTGTTGTAAGCTTACAAGATCACTTTAGCTTCTGAAAATGAAACTACTATCTGCTGCTGAAACAAAGAAGCAGTGCCCATTCTACTTTTTGACACTAGTAAGCTGCCCCCATAAAGAATGAAGCCATTCACCCGCCTCAAGCCAATAGCCCAGATCCCATGCTCGGATACGACTTGACGTTCCTCAGCTTTATGGTCTGCTGTTTAACGGTCAGGTTTCTTGGTGTTGAAGGTGAACGAACTCAGCACGTAGATCTTGCTTGGAAGGGGAACCCCTCCCTTGTCGACAGCCATTGGAGAGCGGACGGCGCATCAGGCATCTCCACCAGCCCCCTTCCCCTCTACCCCTCCCCCTCCCCCTACCCTGCCGCTCCCCCGCCCCTCCTCCCTGTCCCGCCCCGTACCCCGCCCCACGACCCCCCCCCCCCCTCCCGGCCGCTTCTTTTTTTTGACTACCCCGCGCCACTCTCTTCCCTACAGCCACTCACCCCTACACGGCCCAACACTTGCCTGGCCGCTGCCATGGCCACGAGCCCCGGCCGAGCTGGGGCACGGTGAACATTGTTTAACGACAAGTGCGCTTCCTAATCCTTGCGCTGCAATCAGAAATCAGAGATAAGAATCGTAACTTAAGCGTAACGCCTTACGGTTCATATCAACAAAAGACCGAATAACAACACAGCTCACGGCTCTTTTCATTCCAAGATTACGAAAACCAACAGAATCACGATGCCACAGTGTCCCAAAAAGCAGTACGAAAGAGCAACGAACACTCGTGAGGGAGAGGGGGGGAGGGGGAGGGGGCTCCTGAAACTTTGCGTTGCTCTGTTGATTCTGACTTGTTTTGGATGGTTTGGCTGTTAGTGTTTTGTGGTCGTGGTTGCCTACTCGCTTCTTTTTTCGGGGAATCCCCAAGTTTGATTTATTTTGGATTCCACGGGGTTCTAAAGGCTGCAAGAACTGGCCTCGTCGTGGGTTGGCCAATCCTTCCACCCAAAAATCCAGTCCTCACAGCATAACACATGCATTTCAGAGCTGTTTTGCGAAGCTCTCGCGTTGAGGGCACTTTGTTGCTGAAAGCCCTCTGTCCTCAGAGGGCGGGTAACGGACTGTGACCTCCCCAAAAGTTCAGAGGTGACACCGAATCTGTGCAAGAACGCAGCCCCCTAGACCCAACGCCAGAAGCGGAAGGCGCCACCTCCTCGCCCGCAGAGATGGGCATCTCCCCGTAGTCTCTATTGTAGGGGGTGAAGTCCACAAGGACCCGGTGGCACTGCCAAGAGAGACGCAGGAAAAATGCTTGCGGCCCATGAGGCACATGAAGCACGATGGAGTGAAGTCTCTCGCACAGCCTGCACGTCGCCAGGCTTGGCTATTGCCTTGACGTCAATGCGCGTTGTATCCGGGCACACCTCAGGGGAGCTGAGCTTGCTACGGCACGAAGAACAGAGCAAACGAGGGTGGCCCTGGGTTTCGAAAAGTCGGGGTAGTACGGTACATCGCGGTACGTACAGGGGGCAGAACCTGATGTTCCGAAACTTTCATTGGGGCTTCGAAGCAGCCTACGAAAAAGACATTAGACCAGCTGCCCTTCTTGGCCCCACATTGACATAGGGCTTTAGGGTTTTTGGGTTTTTGGGGTTTTCTTGGGAGGGGAGGAGTTCACGGCTTGGTGTTTTTTTAGAACATTCTCGGGCTTTGAGGCTCAACTTCGACTCGCAGGCCTGGACAGTCTCCTGCACGCAACGACGAGCTTCTGGAGCAGTGACGACGCCACAGCCCTGGAGCTCTGAAGCTGACAACTACAGCGAAACTTCTGGGCAGACACTCGCGCAGCGCCGTCCTGACACTATTTTTCACGTGCGCTGGGAACCTGAAAACTCTGCCAGACTCAAACGACGATTTCATATCACGTCAAACCTATGGCTCCGCAGGCTGACAATACCAGCCAGCCACAAGCACGGAGAGGAAATACGATGAAACATTCGGGGCGATGCCATGGCCATGCCAGTCTTCCAGTCCAGAATGACACGCGAAAGGTCGTTGAAGCATGGCTCGTCGCCACAAAACTGCACTGTAAAGCAGATTCTCTGCTGCTATGCGAGCTTTGAATTTCAGCCGAGCGAGCATGCTCATACTGCCACACCTTTGCACTCGGCTCCGTGCACATGCTGCCGGTTTGCAAGCAGCGCACCGCTGTACTTCTGAAAGGCGCTCTCGCAATCCGCCATCACGAAACCAATCGGAAGCTGGAAGGAATCGATAAGGTAATTGATGTCATGCCAATTTGGTCGGTTGTCCCTTACACCGTCTCTTCCAGCCAACGAAGGGCCGAATTTTTGTCACCAGCCGTGCTGCTCGAGTTCGCAGCTTGCCAGACTAAACACCTAGACGTAACTAGACATTCATCTTCGCCCACCTCACGGTGGCTCTGCGGACTAGGGTGTCCTGGCATTTGCTATCGTTGAACGCATTGCGAGTCACAGGCTTCTGAGGCAGACACAGGCCTAGGAGCACTTCAGGTGGGCGATGCGCAAAGTCTCGCCACTTGCATCCACAGACGCCCAACCTGGGTTCAAGCTCACGACATTTCGGGACTGGATAGATGGGAGTTGAGGTTGAGTTCGCCATCGCATCAAAGAACCCCTTTTGCCCAGCTCACCCTGTCACCTGCTTGAGACTAATGAGATGTGGGTACTGACCCCCTCAAACCCCGAAAAGCACCTAGCCTCCCAAGCCCTTAGGAAAGCGCTAGGGCTCCCTGCTGAAACCCGCCGGACGCGGGACCAGGTGGTTGATCTCGATGGGAAGGCTGGCCTCTGGGCTCAGCCTCAGGCCATCCTCCAGATTACAAAAGAAGAGCATGACCCAGCGTGGGAGTTTTGGGAAGGCTTGGGGCTGGCGGGGCCGAATGGCGCTCTGGCAAGGCCGGCAAAGCTGTCCTTGAGGAGTTGTCCTTCACCACTTACGATGGCCAGCCGAGTTCCGTGCATGCGCAGGTCCTGCTTGACACTTCTGAACAAGGAGCCTTCCCAAAGGCTTTACATCACCTCCGAAGCCCTGAACCCACGTCGTCCTCAGGTAGCGACCAGTCATCCCAAAGTGTCCTGGCAAGGTCAGTGTGGGTTTGCTGTAGTTGCTCGGGTCCGGGTTGTTTAGGATTCGAGCTTGGCTCCAAAGATCTCAAAAAAAGGTTGCAGCGCAGTAGTCCTCAAGTAGTCGGAGATAACATCCGATTCGGACTTGGTATATGCCACAAGCCAGTTGCCGTCGGACAACGGGACTAGGTTGCCTCGATTTCCGAGCCAGCATCAGCAAACAAAGGTCGCGGATCCGTCACGAAGCCTTGGGCTGTGGGCTTCGGATGCAGTCATTTGCACATGCCACACAAGATACGAACAGAACAGATGCTTACCGAGGCTCTACCGTTGGCAGAAAAAGTTGCAAAGTACAGCTTGTCATGTCCACCTTGGAAAAGCACAGCTTGCATGTGCACATATATGATATATATATATATGCACATATGATATGTGCATTTGCATGCCTTAGGTCGAACCCGAAGTCTGAGATATTCGAGCCGCCCTTGGTTCCATAGGTCCACACAGCTCCAAAGCCACCGAGGAGATCGGCCTGTCAATAGCTCTCTTACAGTTGAATGCCATATCCTGGTGAGTTTCAGAGTTAGCAAACACCAAGCGCAGGCACGGGAGGTTCCCCGCCTTGATGGCACCACTGCTGATGCCCTGCGAACCGGCACCGTCGCCCCAGCTCTGGAAGCTAGCGGTCTGAGACAAGGCATCGTCCTGCCCGACACTATCCGACAGTGTCACCCCTATCAGGGCCTATCAACGTGATCCAAGTCACGCCCTTGTCGTGTCCTTGAAGGTTGCGAAGACCAGCCTCGGCGACACGTGGCTCGCGGCTCGCAGAATTCCACGCCATCCACATCCATCCCATGCCCACAGAGCATGTGAAGGCACTGAGGGTGTCTGAGGGTGCTGCGCGTCCGGGTACGCATCCCCAGCCGTGCCAAGGAGGAAGGTGTCAGAGACCACCTTGGCACGCAGAACGAGGACAGAAAGACTCGACACTGTGCTCAAGACGGCGTCATAAGGATGACATGCAAGTGGCACTGTAGGCCGCCATCTGCTTGCAGGAGTGGGAGGCCCAAGCATCACCAGAGTATGAGCGCTGCTGGCCATCTGCATCGATCACCACTGTCATTCCACCTACAGGCACCGACTACTTGTTGAGTCCGCGCACAGAAGTCAGTGCCAGTACCTGGCCTTGATGTCCAGAGCACCAGCCCGACCTCGCACAGGAACGTGCTGGAACATGCTGGAACGTACCAGTATCCAGTAGCTGTAACAGTAGCAGTAGCAGTAGCCACTCGGCACCTCAACCCCACCCCACCCTGCCTGCACTCGCCGGCCGAGTGCTGGATATAGCGGCCAGAGGACACGGCAAGGGACTGGGCTGCATCAGGTGTCCACCTCAGGGTCTGTCATTAAGTAAGCCTTGAGCCTTGAGCCAGCACAATAGCCCCTAAACCCTAATCCTGCAACCTGAAACCGAATCATCGAATAAACTCTGAACATCTCAACCCAAACCCCCAAGCGAAGCACATTGAAACCCCATCTTCTCCCAACTTCCCACTTCGCCTCTCGAGGCCAACCTGAGAATCACGAATCTCCGCGCTCCACATCTCTTGGAGGCCCGGCAGCGAAAACTTCCTCACACAGCCGAGCCGCAGCCCTCCCTCTTATCCCTCTTGTCCCTCTTATCCCTCTTGTCCCTCTTATCCCTCTTGTCCCTCTTATCCCTCTTATCCCTCTTATCCCTCTTGTCCCTCTTATCCCTCTTCTCCCTCTTATCCCTCTTATCCCTCTTATCCCTCTTATCCCTCTTATCGTTCTTATCCCTCTTATCCCTCTTGCTAGTGGCCTAGTGACGGTTTAGGGTTTGTATCAAGGTCTCTGGCAACCCACGGCAAGAACATACTCATCAATCTTTCAGGTCTGACAAGGATCTTGAACACGCTCGGACTGTCATACGCACTGCCGCCCGAGAGGAGGACCACGAGATAGTCACCGGCAGGATCGAAGTCGAGGCCTCGCACTTCCAAGGACCTCAGAGACTCACCCACAAAAGGAAGCTTAAGAGTTTATCATGGGTTTTTTTAGGTGTTTTGTAGAATGGTAGGGACAAGTAAGGGCGATGCGACGTGGCAAGGGTTTTGGTCATGACGACCGACGTTCCGTCCAGAAGAAGCAGCTGCGGCTTTCCAGACTGATCATTGTAAAGCACGGCCTGAAGATCGTTCTTTGCAGAAGCTGCATAGTGCACGTGGCGGCATGATAACGCCATCCCGAAGCTGGAGCAACTGCTGTGCCGCGGAGCGGAAAGTGTGATTTGAGAGATCGACAGGGCTGCAGACATCTGCACGTCACTCAGGTCCACACACTTCTCAAGCGTGGTGGGGTTGGGATGGTACGCGTGGCAGCTGAAGCCAGCAAGCTCCACGGTGGCCTGAATCCCCCCTTCCCGCGTCCATACTTCGCATCGACCGGTGCTGTACTCGATGCCCTTGCAGCCCTCAACTGACATGCAAATCGCCTTGCACTCATCCAGGCTGGCCGCCGAGTGAACTGCATAATTGCTCGGAGCATTGTCGGTAGTGCTCCCGCCACGGCAGGCACGACCCACGCCGCCGTCTACTGCTGAAAACTCTCCCTGCACAGCCATGCCCTCGTATATGTAGCAGCTGAAGCCTACAAGCTCAATGGTTGCCTGGATGCCACCCAGCCGTGTCCACACCTCGCATCGACCCGGACTGTACTCAACGCCTTTACAGTTTGCATACGTGATGCAGATCGCCTTGCATTCATCCAAACTGCTCGCAGCATGAACTTCGTAGTGATTCGGGGAGTTGTCTGATTTGCTTCCACCTCGGCATGCGCGATTCACACCACCATCCGCAGGAGAGAACGCATCATCCACAGTCATCTCTCCATACGTATAACAGCTGAAGCCAGCAAGCTCCACGGTGGCCTGAATCCCCCCTTCCCGTGTCCACACTTCGCACCGACCCGTGCTGTACTCGATGCCCTTGCAGCCCTCAACTGACATGCAAATCGCCTTGCACTCATCCAGGGTGGCCGCGGAGTGAACTTCATAGTTGCTCGGAGCATTGTCGGAAGTGCTCCCCCCACGGCAGGCACGACCCACGCCACCATCTTTGCCTTCGAACTCCTCGGTCGAATTGTCGGTGATGAGCAACATGCGCGCCTGGCGTGTGTTCAGCGCCAGCATGGTGACGCCCTGGTTCAGCCTTGAGGGGTTTGATGCATGCCCAAGTCGAGCTGCCAGCCCTGTTTTCCGTACGGAGGCATCGGTCAGAATCGTCACTTGCGGCGAGCCAAGCACGCTTCCGCAGCTCCCTGGCGTGCTGAAGGCAGAGGCGTCCCCCATTTGGGCATTCTCCGCCAGCTGGACAATCTGGTAGTGGTACCAGAGACCAGCCTCAGGTGCACGAGGCTCTCCGCCTTGGCTACCCAAGGAGTCCACTGATGCGCACATCTCATCGAAACGGGGGCAGGCTGAGCCATCAGGCAGGAACTCCGTACAGCCATCAGACTCGCCCGGAGTCTTAAGCCAGAAGTAGGCATCGATCCGAGCGTCCGGCGTGGCGGTTGTTGGAACGTGGCCTATGCCCGCACCTCTGGCGTTGCACCAATTGCCACAGTCGCTGCGGGTGTTGGGCTTACCATTGCGGCCAGTGTCGATAATGTACGATGGTGCGAAGCCAGGAATTGCTGCTCGCATCTTGTAATCCAGCACATCCATGTAGTTGAGCTCGTTGTGAGCCCAGTTCCAGTCTTTCTGCAAGTTGCAGGGATCATCAGCGCAGCACGGGTCGTTGCTCAACTGACCCTTGCATTTCCCGGGCTCTGAGCAAACTATGTTCCCAAGGGGCTGATAGTTTGCAACATTCGTAGCAAAGCCACGGAGCTTATCGGCAATCTGCATGTTGGCAATGATGTTTGCAAACTTGCCGGTTTGGTCGTCGTTACCTTGCAGGACGCTATCAGCCAACAATGCAAAGTGCAAGGTCACATCACACTTCAACAGCACAGAGGGCTCTACACGTGATCACTCGATCGGCTCAGCAAAGGGACTGTTGGCCCAACCCAGCCAGCCACCGTGCCCAGCGTCCAGGTAGAGCGCTGCCCCTGTGGCTGACAGCTTCTCGACGGCGTATCGGATACCCTCCTCGTAAGCAACCTAGGCCGCACGACACTGGCCTTTCGACACTTTTTCGGGCCCTGCAGAATTTTCACCTAGCACATACCTCTAGTGAACCATGGAAGCCAGGGAATGTTGGAATGTTCTGAGTTTAGGCTGTGGCCCCGACCTTAGTCTCGTCGTGGCAGCCGCGGAAGTTGTCTGGCCTCTTGTCTTTCATGTTTGTGACGAGGTTGGGCAAAGAGTCGGGCTCAATGACCAGAACCACTGGCACCCGGTCGGCAAAGCGTCCCACGACCTCTGCGAAAGGGTCGATGTAGGTCTGCTTGTACTCGGACAGGCCATCCGCGCAGTTGGCTCCGACCACCTCTCGGTAGAAGCCGGTGTTGGGCCCGGAAGTTGACATGTCGCACTTCGTCCGGCCCACATCCTCGCCATAGTGGCAGCAGATCTCGCCGTTGGAGGCCAGCGCAAAGCAGTCCCTGTTTGGAAGATCGTAAACAATGAGGACGACCAGACTGGGGGGCGAGCAGCTGGCGGCGTCCTCAAGGATGCCTTCCACTGTGCTGTGATCCGGGTGGCCCTGGCCCTTGTAGATCTTGGACTTCACGTCAATCCAGAAGGCCGAAGGCACGTTCTGCATGGACTCCAAGGTGCTGCGCACGACGCTTGATGAGCCGGTCAGGTTGATGGAGGTGGACAGAAGGTCTCGGTAGGAAGGGTTGACATACCAGGGATGTCCCTCGAAGGGGTTGACCCCGGGCGCTGGGGAGGGGCTCGGGCTGGGAGAGGGCGTGGGAGAGGGCGTGGGAGAGGGCGTGGGAGATGGCGTGGGAGATGGCGTGGGAGATGGCGTGGGTGAGGGACTAGGAGAAGGTGATGAGCCGGGGAGGCATTGCGAGTAGTAGTCATTTCCGAAGGTGCAGATGGATCCAGACTCACAGCAAGTTGGGCCGTTGTGGTTCATGCCACCACACTGGCCATACAGGGCCGCACAGGTAGTGGCTGGAGTGGTCGTCTGCTCAGAGGTGCTTGTAGTGGTTGTAGTGGTTGTAGTGGTTGTAGTGCTTGTAGTGCTTGTAGTGCTTGTAGTGCTTGGAGCGCTTGTAGTGCTTGCGATTGCAGAGGTTGTTGTGGCAATTTCACATCCCGCGCACAAGCTGCAGCCAATCCTTGACTGCTCGGCGGCAGACGCTCTCTCCAAGTACACGTTGCCTCTCATCTCTCGGTTGAAAATATTGCTAAAGAAACCGGAAGCTTGTCACCTAGTGCATCATGAGTTTCCAGGTGCACTTTGTTGACCACTCATTGTCGTTGTGCTGACACCACCTAGCACACTCGGCGGGCATCTCGCGGGCAATCGGAGGACCCATCCTTTGATGTCTCACTGGAACGCCTAGGTAGCGGCCAACCCACAGCTAGCTAGCACGCCTATCCCAACGCAAACTCTGAAAGAAGACTTGGAGGTACGAAGTGTCGTTGCCACCAGTGTATGAGTAGTTGTTGAGACCACTCCAGTCGTCGTGGTGGCCATCGAAGTTGTGGTTTGGGTTGTAGGCACTGTCGTAGCAGGAGGTGTAGTCGTGACAGGTTGGGTCGACGTTGGTGGAGCACCTGTTGTGGTGGGATCTGCGGCGTGCATCCTCAAGTAGGATCGGACGAAGAAGCCGGAGCAAGACACATCGTCCCAGCCTTTCCCCGGTCGGGGGCAGAAACAGTCAAGAAACGTCAATGCCGGGCAGCTTAGGCTTCGGTTTTCGCACTCTGTGCTGCAACCATGTCGCGATCAGCTTGGCAACTTCCGCTGCCGAGAGCCGCCGAGACCTCTGACTTGTCCGCCAGGCTCCATTGAGCCCAGCTCACCGTGACCCCGAGCTCTCCGCTACCGAAAAGGTCCAGGAACTCCTGGCAATGCACACGGACATACTCGCACAACATCGCGCACCCACAAGCAGCGAAGAGATGTTGGATTCCGCTTGGCCAGGCCTTGGCTAGGTCCAGATATGGCCCGCCGTCCCCGCTCGCCTGGCTGGTGCCCCACTCCGTCGCGAAGATTGGGATCTGCGAGGCATACTGGCGCAAGCGCGGGAGAAGAAAGGCGTGCGTGCCAGCATAGAAATGGAACGCGTACATGACCTCAGTTGCACGTGGGGCATACCCCAAAGTGAGACACTCTGCCTCTCAGTCAAAAGCAGGCTGCTTCGCAAAACGTCCACAATGCGCCACGTGGCATTGTAGGGCATCTGCACCGGGTTGCTCGCAGCTTCGTGGATATCCTGACCATGAACTCTGTCCACGCGACTAACTTCAACACCTGCAAGGCTGCGTCTGAGCCTGACTCCAGGTCGGCGTGCCAACGATGATGATTGTGTCCGGGTCGACCTCTGACAAGCAGGACATGCCGAGTGATAGAAGGATCCCATATTAGACCCCATGTGCGCCTCACGGATCACGGAGATGATGCTGTCCGCATATGACTTCACCACGGGCCAGTCTACATAATTGGGCTCATTGCAAATCTCATAGAGAACATGAGTCTTGTTCTTGTACTTCATAGCCGTCTCACGCCAATAAGCTGCCGCATCGGCTTGAGATGCTCCGTCACCGGTGAGCCAGTGGAGGGGATTTCCCGGCGTCAAGACCTTGCGGCATGCAGAATTCTTGCAGAATCGTGAACTCAAACCCTCCACAGGCCAGAAACGTGCTCAGGCTCCGGCATGCCAGTCGATGATGATGTAGACTCCAAACTCTTCACCCCAGGCGACAATCTCATCCACCAGCTGCGCTACCTTACTCACAGCTTCCAGCACAAATACAAGGATGCAAAACGTTTACATTCAACCTTCCTAGACGCCTGAATCCTAGATCCTGACGTTGCTGTTGGGCTTGGCGCCCCGCTGACTTGTCAGTGGCGTAGCCACCCTCACCGATGTACATCGCCGCCCGGAAGACGGTGATCCCCCAGCTGGATACCAGGTGCTCAAGCATGCCCTTCTCATAGCCTTGCACGATGGTGGTGATACATGGTGATAGTTTTTTGAGAAGCAAGCAAAACCCGTTTGCCTTGAGCATTCAGATCCTTCACAATGGTTCAGCAGAGTGGTGCCGTCCCAGACCGACTCTTTGAAAATCCGCATGATCTGCACTGAAGTGCTCAAGCCGCAAGCTTTGCGTGTCGGGGTGATGGGTGTAACAGGAACCAGCCCGCGACGTAACAGGAGCCACGTTTTCAGGAACCAGAACGTAACAAGAACGAGGGCAGGGGGGACAAGAGGAACTGGGGAGGCCTCTCCACAGTTCCTGAAGCTTGGGCCTGGTTCCTGAAACAAAGTTGCTACAGCGCAGCCCCCTGGTTCCGGTTACAGCGTCATCGAAGGCATGCCGACCTTCTTCGAAGTCAAGTAGCAGTCTGGGAACCAGTGCAGGCCATGGGAAGACATACCCTTCCTCAGTTGCACAAGGGAGTGCAGGACCTCCTGTTGGAGTACTGCAAACAGAGGTAACATCGCAAGACATCGCAAGGACTTGCTACGAAGTGTTAGAGCCAGGTGAAGCCAGGTAACAGCTGCACAGCATCGCCCCTCAGGTTGACGAGCTGAGCACCAGAGAGCTTGAGCTTGCCATGTTGGTAGGCAAACCCACGGCGGTCGACCTCGAGGCTTCTGTCACTGCTGGCTCAAGCACGATGTACATCAAACGCAGCGTTTAGGTACAAAAGCACAGTGTCGCGTCACGAGTAAACTTCGGCCAAGTGCTGACACCGAGGCGCAGGGCTTCCTGGCTGCATGTTCCCTGGAAGCCCACAGCCGACAGGGAGCGTGGTGCTCTGCGTAGTACCTTGAATAGGCTGCACTTTGCAGTTCAACATCAAGTTGTGCCCGAGCATGCCCAAACCTGCTCTGCCTTACCTACCCATAAACAGGCCATGGTGCTGGGCAATGTGCTCGTGCTGCTGGTGGAAGTACTTGCAGTAGTGCACGTGGTCTCCCCTACACAAGGGTCATTGACCCACAATGTAAAACCATTGCCTCGGCTCGGGCCCAGGACTTGCAATAAACTTGGCCTTGGCCTTGTCCGAGCCGGCTCTACCAAGCAACCCTGTGCAAGCCAGGCATAGATACACCCTTGGAGTAGTCGGACCCCCTGGTTCCGATTGCGTGCACTGCCCACTTGCAATTTGTTGGCCTTTCTGCTTGGACGCATTTGGCTGTGCTGTGCGTTCGGGACGTCGCTGTGGATAAAGCCCCAACGACGTCGTGACTGAGCTCTCTAAGCAAGCTCTTGCTAATCCAAGACATGGGTGATGGGTCCAAACAGAGGTTCACCGCCATTTGCGAACACAATGCTGGTCAGGAGGAAAGAGCCAGGAGAGGGGAAGAGGACGAGCGGGAAAGATCGCCTGCCTTCCTTCGCAGATTCTTTGATCCTTTGCGTTGCTTTTTTGCAGATTTACACCAGTTTCTGTTTGATCCCTGTGCAAGGTATCTGTTGGGCTGATCCGCTGCCAAACAAGGCCAGATTGGCGTAAACTCATGGACTGCACAGCTACAGCTACGGCAACGACGCGTGCAGCAAGACTGTGGATCTCAGCGTACCCCAAGATATCCGCCGACCCCAGCGGTAGCAGGGCGGCGTCAGTGAAGACCCCCCACCGCCCTCACCGCCCTCACCCGCTCTCACAGCATGCTGCTCATGACACCTTGAATTGGAGTGTTTTTGCATTGTTTGGCTTCAGTGCATGCCCAAACCCCGCCACCCATCGCCCTCACCCCCCCCCCCCCCTACCCCCCCACGCCCCCCCCCCCCCCCCCCCCCCCCTCCCCCCCCCCCCCCCCACCCACCCCCCCCCCCCCCCCCCCCCCCACCCCCCCCCCCCCCCACCCTCCTGTAGGCCTCGCCCCTACCCCCTACTCCGCCCCTGACCAATCTAGTGTTTTAAGGATTCCAGTCCACGCCCCCCCCTGACCGCGCTCACCGCCCTCACCCCCCCCCCCCACCCCCCCACCCCCCCCCCCCCCCCCCCCCCCCACCCCCCCCCCCCACCCCCCCCACCCTCCTGTAGGCCTCGCCCCACCCCCTACTCCGCCCCTGACCAATCTCTCGTGGGATTCCAGTCCACGCTCCACGCCCTGCACCACCCTCACCGCTCTCACCGCCCTCACCCCCCCCCCCCACCCCCCCCCCCCCCCCCCCCCCACCCTTCGCCCTGAACCCCCCCCCCCCCCCCCATCCCCCCCCCCCCCCCCACCCCCCCCCCCACCCACCCCCCCCCCCCCCCCCCACCCCCCCCCCCACCCCCCCCCCCCCCCCCCCACCCCCCCCCCCCCCCCACCCCCCCCCACCCCCCCGCCCCCCCACCCTGTAGGCCTCGCCCCCTGCTCCGCCCCTGACCAATCTCTTGTCTTTAAGGATTCCAGTCCATGCCCGCCTGCACCGCTCTCACCGCTCTCATCACTCCCCCTCCCTATGCCCCCCACTCTCCCCTCCCTGACACCAACCCTTTGCCCTCAACCCCCCCACCCGCCGCCTCGACTCTGAAACCCACCCCTCCCCGCTCTCATCACTCCCCTGCCTTCCGCCCCCAACTCCACCAACCCTCGACCGTCACCTCCCCTGTCCACCCGCCGCGCTCCACCCTGCCTTCCGCCCAACCCTCTCACCAGAGCTGGTCAAATGAGTCAGGCCCCCCTTTCCGCCAGCCGCCCCCACCCTCTCCCACTCCCACTCCCTAACCCCCCCACCAACCCTCCCCAGCCCTCATCATTACCCCCTCCCACCATCGTGCACCATCCGACCGCCCCCCCGCTCTCACCGCTCTCATCGCTTCTTCATCTCTATGCCCCCCAGTCCACCCCTGCCTTCCGCCCCCAACTCCCTAATCCGACACCAACCCTCTACCGTCACCCCCCACACCCCCCACCCCCACCGCCCCCCCCCGCCCCCGCCCCCCCGCCTGCCCGCGCTCCACCCTGCCTTCCGCCCCAATGCGACTGTCTTGGGTCTGGGGTCGGCGGCACTGGCGGTAGCCATTAAATCCGGCCCCCGCGCCGCCCGTGGTCCAGGGCGGAGCCCGCGTCGCACTAAAGCGCTAGCTTTAAGGGGCGAGCGCCCGAGGCGCCGACCCCGCCCAAAATTGCTTCAAATTCGCGCGGGGCCCTTCGGGAGGCCTCCAAAACGGCATCCAAGGGGACGCAACACGCGGTGGTGCGAAAAGCACGAAAACCTCGTAAAAACCATGGGTTTTTACGAAAAACCGAGGCCACAAAACACCCGCAGCACCCCATTAAACCCTCACGGGCGCGCATCATCGGCCCTAGCTTTTCACATGGGGCGCGCGCCAGGCCGAAACCACGTTTTTCAAGGTTTGGGGGGGGTACCGGAAGCCCAAAACCAGGCGAGCATCATGAGCATCAGCAGCCCTGGCCCGCGGGCCCAAGGCAATAAAAAACGCTGAAAAACGCTGAAATCACCGTAAATACCGTGTTTTTATGAGGTTTTTCACGCGTGCCTCCGACCCCCACCCCTGTTGCCCTTGACCCGCCCCCAAAGTGCGCATCATCGAAACCCACGTCCGGGGGGGGGTCTGCTGATGCTGCTGATGCGCGGGGTCCGGGCGCATCATCGAGCCATCGCTTCTCTTGGGCTTCGTGGGGGGGTCCGGGCCCACGGCCCAGAGACCCAGCTGATGCTCATGATGCTCGGTTTGGGGGGGGTGTTCCAACAGCAGAAAACCTCGTAAATACCGAGTGTTTTGTGGGTCCACGTAAAAACGCCCCTAAAATCGCTCATTTTACGCGCTCGAACGGCTTCGTGCCTACAAAACACCCGAACAGCAGGACCCCGAATGCCCTTAAGGGCATTCGGGGTCTTGCTTTTGGGGGTTTCGTGGGCACGCAAGCGTTCAAGCACATACAATCGGCGTGTTTAAGGGGGTTTTGGATGGCCTGGGGGAGGCCGCTGATGCTCATGATGCTCCCTTTCCTGGGTCCCAAAAGGCTTCCCAAGCCCAAAAACACGTGTTTACAGCGTTTTCTGAAGGTTTTTCGAAGGCAAAACGCATGCATAGAATGCTTTTAAGGCCCCCAAACCAACCCCACTGATGCTCCTGATGCGGGTGCGCGCGCGCGCGCGCGGCGCGCGCGCGCGCGCGCGCCGGGGGGGGGGGGGGGGGGGAGGGAGGGGGGGCGAAGGCAGGAGAAAGAGAGACAGAGAGAAGGAGAGGACAAAGACACGGGAAAGAGAAGACAGTGCCAAGGTTCAAGGTTTCGTGCTTTGGGGGGCGGGGGCCGGCCCGTGCCGCTAGGCCTGAAATCGGGCAGCGCGAGGTCCCCAAAGGACCGAGCAAATGCGGACCTTTTAGCCCGGGTCGTCCCGGGAATAGCCTTGCTGGCCTCTGGCCTTCTGCGAAGCAGAATTAGGCCGGACGCCAGTGCCGCCGACCCCCGCGTGCCGCCGGTGAACGGTTTTTTTTCGTGGTTTTTTGCGTCGCCACGGAGGCCCCCAGAGGGCGCGCATCATGAGCATCAGCGGGTCCAGCCCGGGACCCCCAGGCGCGCATCAGGAGCATCAGCGGCTCCCGGGGCGGGACCGCGGGGGGCATCAGGAGCATGATGCCCCCCAAAGGGCGGGCATAAGCGACGTGTCTAAGCCCGGGGCTAGGAAAAAGGGAGTTTAGGGGCCTTATAAAGTGCTTAGAAACGTTAAGGGAGGCTCGGAGCCTCAAACGCTTAGAGATTTGAAGGGAGTTTAGGGGCCTGAAAATGCTTAGAAACTTAACGCTTAGAGATTTTAAGGGAGTTTAGGGGCCTCGACATGCTTAGAAACTGCTCGCCCCGGGCTTCTGCGTGCGCTGCCCGCCCATGGGCGCAGCCCCTTAAAATATCGAGAGCTTCCCGCGCACAAGCCACTTCACTCTGTTGCAACTACCCTTGCAACTTAAACGGTCCAACCAAACACCATTGCACATCAAGACGACGGCATCCCTCAGCTAAAAATCTTTATCAAGGAATGCGCGTGAATCCGTGGATCTCTTCTACTCTTACATCCAGAGCACTCGGCCACGATCCAGAATATTCGAAGGAGTAGACGCCCAGCTGGGGCCCACTGCTCATCGCGAGCATGTTCACTGGAATAACCCCGCTGCTGAACTGAACGCCCTCAGCTGCAAGCGGAGTCTGACGACGTACTTGGATGGATATGGGCAGCGGTTGCTGAAAAGACATAAGCTTCCCTTGCCTGCAGCTTCAGTTCCACCGCGCTGTTGCCCGGACGAAAGGTCACCTCGCATTGAAGTCATTGAAGACTCTTGCATCTGAAGATTTTGCCACATGCCTAAAGGCCCTAAACCCACACCATGACTTCAGGCAAGAGGGCTGTCACGTGATACCAGGCATCGTCTTCCACTTCCATTTCATCCTGCCAGCTATTGGGGTAGTCGTCCGTGATGAAGGAGACCAGGCGCAGCTTCCCAGAGCCTGCGTGAAAGCACATGCCCAAACTATCTGAAATTCTGCTGAAAAGCGTGCTGGCATTCTGGAACTTCCGGCGCCCTTCGAAAGCCCAGCTCAGCACACCGCTTGAGGTGCCTCCTAGAGAGGCTCCCCCCCCCTTATTGCCCCCCCCCCCAAAGGGCTCCTTTCGGATGGCTTGGGGGCACAAGGCCCAGGATGTTGCCGCTGTCGGTCCAGAAGAGCAGCTTCACGAAGGCACTCAGCTCCCTGCCGTAACCCTAACATTCCCGAAATTTTCCCTAAAAAGGCTACCAAGAAGCAGCTCTAAAGGCTGCACCACGCTTGCAGATAGCAGGGCGAGTTCTTGCACTGTGGTGACCTAGACAAGCATCAGATGCTATCCAACTCTGTGCGCCTGGCGCCGGAAGTCTTGAACGAGAATGAGAACACGTTGACATCGCTGGACCAGCACGTGCTGTAAGCACTGCCGCCGCAGAAGTTTAGGTAGGCAAAGGCCCGGTACGGCACTGTGCTTGTGCCCTGACTCGCAGAAACAGTGATCTTCCAGCCGTCCTCACCTTGGTTCTGCGTGTGGTGACGGCTGCGCGGTAACAAGAAGGAACGGACACACGATCAACGAAGAGCCGAGTGTCTGAAGCTATACTGGCCGGATGTGCAGGGTTCAGTTCCACTCCAGCCACCACCACCACTAGATCCTCCACCTGCAGAGATGTATGGTCCGGAACCACCGAAGTTCTGGCCACAGAAGTCAGCATTTCCTGGCACAATTTGTTGCCATGTTGTGACAACATCGCAAACACTCCCTCTGATAAATCCGCAATGGCATACTTGCATGTCGGCTGGTGCCTCCAAGAGAACTGGCAAACTGATCAAAAGATCCTGCGTGGCAAGGACAGCAGCACAAATAGCTCCACAGATGTCTGCCCAGTTTGACAGTCCATCTCTCGCCCTCCAGAATGCAACTGTGCTTCGGCTTGCGAGCTTGGGGTGCCGAACCCTGAACCCCCGCCAAAAATCCAAGCGTCCTTCCCAAGAAGTGCTGGCAGCGCATGAGCACTGACGGGGTCGGGCTGTGGTCGCCTCTGTTTGCTCATCCCTTCAACCCGAAACGGCCTCTCTTGCTGGCTTGAGACGTCCGGGCCAATTATTTTGCAAAGTCACAACGGAAGTCGTCACGGGCGATGCTGTGGAGGATGGCGCCGGCGTCGGAGTGGGGGTTGGGGCCGTGCCCTCAAGGCACTGCGAATACCATTCGTTGGAAAACTTGCAGACGGAACCTGCTGGGCAACAGCAAGAATGGCACGAGCGTGCGCTCATGTCATCAAAGCCTCTATCCCCTTGCGCCCGCACCAACCTGATTGGCAACAAGTCGGGCCGTTGTAGTTGTTCCCGCCGCACTGCTCATACAACGCTGAGCACGGTCCAGCTGGCGTCGTAGTCGTGGTCGGGACCTGGGCGCTTTGTGAGGAGGTGGACACGAGCTGCCGAATCCACATCTTTCGCTCATTCTCAGGCCGGAACAGTGCTAGTGCTAGTTGGGGACGGCGACGGAGAAGTCGACGGGACAGGTCCGCTCCCCTCCAGCACTGCCTGCCCAGTTTGCATCGTTGCAGTCATACCATGCTCGACAAAGTTGCAGTTGGGGTGACAGAGTCAGCAACAGCACCCTCAAAGCCCAAAATCAACATCTCCCATTTCCAGACCACCAAGATGATACCAAGATGCCACATCGGCGCAGTTCCAGAACTCCTCGCCAAAGGTTCCTCGCCCAGCCGGACCACAGCAGGCGGCGTCGCAGGTAGCCCAGCTTGCAACGGCCCAGGCGCTCCAGCCTCCGCTCCACTTCTCTATGACTCTCTGACTTCAACATGTTTGCAGCCTTGGACAAGCTCTCCACACTTCGACTCCTAGGGAAATTGAGGGACTGGGAAGAAAGCTACTAGCCAGCAGGGATTCCAGGGGTGCGTCGCAAACACCAAGCAGTGAGGAGAGTATTCCTAAGGCTCGCCCAGACAAGCCCTGACCACCAGCAGCAAGCGGAGCGGTCTCTTGGTTCAAGGATGGCGTTTCAAGCGCTTCTGGACTGGGGCCTCCTTGTGGCCGGTTCGTGCGGGCTCTTCTGCGGCCCTTGCTTCCGGATCGAGGTCTCCGCAGAGTATCCCCGAGAGGCCCCCCCAGAATCTTTTAGTCTTCGAGAATCCGCTGGATTCGTGGGGTGCCCACCACCAGAGCATCCCGCAGGGTATAGGGACCATACAGAGCTCACGAGATCCCCATCACCAAAACCTCACAGAGCACCCAAGGAGTCCCCACTCAGCAGATGACCCCCTTGCAGTGGTCGTGAACTGCTTGGCTTCGGGCGGGGATGTCCAAAGTAAACATGTTGTGTATGTTGGTGGTGTTCTTCGAAATGGTCTCTGGGAAGACAGGAGCATTGCAGGTGTAAGAAGAAATAACCCTAAACCCCAAACCCTAAAACTCTCCATCCCAAACCCTAAACCCTAAACCCAAACCTAAACCCAGACCCTTATCCCAAAACCCTAAACCTGGTAACGCCCTTCCTTGCGGCCCCGAGAGTTCTGCGCGTGTCATTTCGGCGTTGGACAGCGGAAAACGCGAAACACTCGAGGTTTTTTGCGCCTCGCATTCGCTGGACGTGTTTTGTCTATCCGCAAAATCACCACTGCCACCATGGGATCGGTGTTCGCTCGCGCGAAAACACTGCGCACAGCGACGCTTTCGAGACGTGCGAATCGCACCCAAAAAAGCGCTTGCTTCTTGAACGCTGCTTTCGGGCGAAACACTTCGCACAGCGTTCTTGTGCTTATGTTTTGCACAGAGGCAAAAATGTGTACAGAGAGGCAGAAATGCTGCAAATAGAATTGTGGCATCTGCGCCAAAGGCACGAGCACATGTGACCTCCGAAATATGTTGTATAGAGAAGGAAAAATGCTGTAAATACAAGTGTTTGGGGCATCTTTGACAAGATCATGAACGCTGGTAGCTGCGTGTCTTGTTCCATAAACGTCAAGCATCCTTGGCAAAAAAGCTGTAAATACCGATGTTTTTGCGCAGGGTCGCCATACATGAAGGGACGTTGTTACCCCCACCCCCTTACCCCCCACCCCTCCCCCCACAAACCCGAAAGGCCTGAAATCCGGAAACCTGCTGAAACCTTCCAATCATTGTTGTAATAAGCGTTAGCCTAAACCTTGAGCGCAAACACCTCCCCCTAACCCTCAAGCAAGCACGACATTTGAAAAGTACTATTAACACGAACATGTGTTCAAAACACAAGGTTCTTCACAGCAAGTATCTCTCGAGGAGAATCATGGAGTTAAAACCAAACAGCCCCGCGCCCAGGTGGGGAAGAATAAGCAATACTAATCAACACAATAGCGAGTGATATGTGTTATCATGTCAACTCGTATCATATGAAAACTTGCTTTGTGGAATCATGTTCACGATTTACCATTTGTCATGGTCTTAGCTCATGTGTCATTGATTAGCTCAGCTTGTGCGATGTGCCTTGTTATATGCGTATCATCAGGCTAGCTTTAGTTTAAACCTGCAAAACCTATCGCAGCCGCAATGTTAAAAAAAGTACACAGTTCAGAATATGATGTTTAAACAGATTAAGCAAACATGACTGGAAAATAGCTAGATATGTAAAGACATGTCTCAAAGGTGCTGGAATAGAAGCTGTACATAAAGCAATCCACGATGTAAAGCATACCACCTGAAAACCGCTGTAAAAACACACTATAACATCTCGCACTTAAGCGTGTACAGTACACATAACAGAACTGTCTGACAGAACTATGCAAACAACACTGAGAACTCACGACAACATGTCATGAACCAAATCTGCGTATAGCCTAATAAGAAGTGACTTACCCCAGAACTTCACCAAACTGTAAACTAATTCACCCACTGCATATCAGAAGAATCTCAGAAATTTCGTACAGTACTTTTAATACAAACCATAAAACACCATATGCAAGCCATACACTATCTGGCCGGAGGAGGGGCGGGGGTGGGGGAGGGGGGTGAGAGCATGGGGGCACAATCTGCAAAAAAGGGGCGTTCATTTGCACAGAAACAACACAAAAGTATGGGCCGCGGAATTTGCCTGAAAATGCCCCAGGATGCTTCCGCACTGTCTTAGGGTTTCTTGGCTATGTTTAAGGGCTTTCGTGACTAGAAGACCTTGCGTTCCCTTCCCTCTGGACAGATATGGACTCTCAGCGTCTGACTCGCAGAGCTCCAGCCCAAGCTTTGCAGCTGCTGGAAGTATGTCCTTACACATCTTACACTCTCGCCAAGATCTATGGCATCAATGGATGAGAAGCCTGCTGAGAGCAACGTTGAGTAACTCAGAGTTTTTGAGCAGAGCTTCCTGTAAGAGTTGTCCGGAAGACAGCTGTTGGCGGTAGCATAATACCACTGCAGCGTGCACTTTTGGCATGTGAAGCCCGCGGGAATGACATACTTCATGGTGTGGACCTCTTACAGCACATGTGCAGATCGTGTGCAGCACAGCATGCAGAAGTAAGACAAACATTGAGAGAGGGACCTCGGTGACCGAGGGCAGGCCAGTAGCCCAGGAGGCTCCTGCAGGTGGGTTCGCGCCACGAGGCGGGAGGTACCAGCGCCCAGGATTCTCAGAGTCAATGGGCTGGCAGTCTCCTCAGGATAATTCTCTCTGATCATCTGTCTTGCTGCTCCTACTCCTGCCGGCTGACGCCCCGGCATGGCCTCGAGGGTCGTTGACAACGCAATCACCTGGCGGCAGCGCGCGCTGCAAGATGACCTTGTCCAGGCAATCCTGGCCCTCAGCACAGAAACAGCTAACAGTCACAGTTCTGTGGAGAAACTGCAAGCCACGCACAGACTAGATCCAAGTCAGTTGCGCTCCGGCCTCGCGACTGCTTTGAAGCGTGGTATCGAGAACCGTGTTGCAGAGCCTGAACTCGTAGTGCCCGGTATGGTGTGTGGAGACTACAACACGGAACTCCACCACGCTTCCGGCCGTGTACGTCCTCTGTGTTTCCGTGGGCACCAGGTACTCCTCATCTGCAAGACTGAGAGGTTGGGAGTGGCCTTGTACGGGATCGCCACAGAGGCCGTGGGACTCGGGGGCAAGGTGCGTCGGCCACACGTTATTCCCCAGTGCGGCCACATTGTCCGGACCATTGGAGTTCAGACAATGAGGACAGTCTTCCTCTCCGCGCTGTGCGCGGACAAGGTTGCGGCTCGGCGGGTCTGCCAAGTAAGCGTGGCTTTGTACCACTCTCACATGAGAAAACAGCAAAGTCAGGAAGACGATCCATCCACGGCTCAGAGCTTCCATGTCCAGATCTGCCTGATACTTGTGCAGGCAGAGTCGCGAACAGAGATAGCGTGAGCGCTTGAAAGCAAATGGCTTCAGCACAAGGCACAGAGATGTGAGACTTTTGCATGGCACATCATGGCACCAAACTCCACTGCATCTAAGCCATTCTACACCACAGAGCTGAGTACAGGTCCGTTGTAGCACGTGCATTAGCTCAACAGGGCCAACGTGTCTGGGCTTCCGTGCAGGCGGATGCCACGCTGGAGCATCTGCTTGGAGCTCTTTGCTCTTGAAGGTCGGCTGCACACGGTGAACATGGATGGCTTGGGTGTCGCTGGCAGGGAAGGCTAGGAAATCTAGGGAAACATGTGCGACGGCATGCAGCTATGCTTCTCGTCCAGACTCGAAGTCATGAGGCGTGTTGTGTCGACAGCAAAAACGGGTGGCACGTCACATACAATGACAATGCACGGGCGCTGGGACAGACCCTTCAACCATCCTCACCCTGTGCGCATTCCGTGCACTTGGAACTGGTCAAAAAAATCCGGTAACACGATGCACAATCATGCACACTCAGCGACTTCGAAAGACAAGCCCAGGTAAACCTGCAAGGATTAAGCGAGAACCTTCCAGTTGGTGGCATCGGCTTGGACCTTGGTCACTCAGTGGGTCTGATAGTACGCCACCCTCCAACAAGAAAGCCTGACCTTGATACGTGCACGCGCACACCTAAGTCCCAACCACGGCAATGTGTCAAAACCCGATTCAGGCCAAGTATTCACAAGATGCTGTGGCCGTTTACGCACTCTTGTATTCCTCTGACATCTCTGAGTCTGCAGCAGTGTCGAAACGCCACTCACCATCAGACATGCGCCACTCGCCGTCGTACACAGTGCCGTCTGGCCACTCGAACCTGTCAGCAAGCTTCAATGTCAGGGTAGAGGTTCAAGCCGCTGAACACATTTGCAGGTGCCTTCCTTTGCCATCTCTTCTGCCACCGAACAAGGCCTGTTCGTCCCGCTCCTGCTGTGTAACACAGAAGCGGCGGTGAGAAGTAAAGCATAGCCACGGACTGTCAGAAATCAGGAAGAAATGCGTAGGGAAAAAAGCAGACGGCCGCCCCTCGCTGCAGTCTAGGCAGATGCAATGCAGCAGCCTTGTCAACCCTGACCACAAGACATCACGCTCTGCCGCGAGCCTGCAAGCGTTGGAGCTTCTTCAAGTCGTCGCAAATCTGCTGCATCTCGGAGGACATGGCCTTCACCGGCTCTGGGAACACCATGGAACATCAAGAGCCATGAGTTGCAGCCTTAGGAACAGCGGCAGCGCCCCAAACAAATTGTAGACAAACCGTACCGTGCTAACCGCCAGAGTTCCAACCGAAACACGCACTCATGACGATGGCTGAATCAACCAAGGCAAATTTGTGACGAGAGCTGCCCCCCTTGGCCCGAAGCAGTTGACCCTAAAGCACAGCAGGCACAGGTACGCTACATCCCACATCAACTCCCAACCCCCTCCACCCAACCCCCCCACAACCCCCACCCCCCCACCCAACCCCCCCCCCCCCCCAAAACCCCACCCAACCCCCCCCCCCCCCCCCCCCACACAACCGCAATCACGTAAACCCACACAAGCCCCACACCCAACACAACCTGTGAAAAATTAAACGAAACCCTGAGCAGGCTAAACCTATGGTGGCCTCCGGATGCTGGACAAGGGGAGGTGGCCTTCGTGACGTGCTTTTGCAGACACTTGGGATGTGAGCTCTTCAGACCCTAAACTTGGGACAGACCCCCCTTTATACTAACAGGTCTTTAATGGGGATTTAAGAAGGGGTACTATAATCCCTATTAAGGACTGTTAGTATAAGGGAGAACATCCCAACCCTAAACTCGTACCCCTCACATACACGGTCAACCCCAGGGTGCACGGCTGCAAAGGTCAGCAGAAACGATCTCTATCAAGGGAGGTTCTGACTCAGGGTGCACGACAAAAGGCATAGGAGCTGCTCTCAGGGGAAAACCCGAAACCCTAAACAGTCCTGGATGCGCTATGTCTACCAAAGCCGTGATCGGTGGAACGTGCAGGAAGAACACTTGACCCTATACTTTTGGAGAGGAAGCATGAACTGTGTGCCTTAAGTCCCACCATGCTTGTGAGCCCCGTTCAAGTCCGAGACGTGAACGAAAAACAGGAACTGAAACAGAGGACCACCAGCGACTCCATCCCGAGAGGCGCGACTCACCATATTCATCACGTTCTTGCGGCTCACTCTACACACCTCCTTTAAGACTCAGGCTTTGGGGGGGACTTCGGGACTTCTGGCCTGTTTTCCGGCTTTATGGCCCGTGCTTTGCGTGTCAAGGCTCAGGACTTATGCTGATGCCCGGCCTGACGAAGGACTCCCTGAGCGACACCTGGCACACGGGACCATCCATGCTCTCAACAAGCACCATTCCGGCCCGAAACCTACCATGACCCCCCAAAGGGAAACCTAAAAATCCAGACGCCTCAACTCGAAAAACCCGAAAAGCCTGCCTCTAAAAACACAAACCTACAAACCGCCTGTGGAACGTGCGGCGCCCAAGCATGGATCATCGGGTCCATCTGGAATACCATCTCCTGGTGTGTTGTTGATCTTTTCTTGCAGGGTTGCTTAGGATGTAGGGCCTAGGGAAAGTTTAGGGTTTTGTGGTAACGGTCCCGAAGTCAACCACCAAACTCAAAAACAAAACTTGCAGAGACCTCCCCCTAAGTTACTAAGACATGAACTCGATGGAAACACAAAAGAAGCCTCGGATTCTCGGAAAGTGTGCCGCAGGTCTGTCTCCATCCTGGGCTTTGGGCTGCTTTCGGGCCGATCACAGTCTTGAAAGCTTTGCTCTACAACCTTGCTTCGAGGCTCTAAGTTCCAAGGTTCTCGTTTGAGGTCATTAGGGTCTGTGAGTAGTCCAGGCCGCAGGGCTTCCCCCCCTCAGAATGGTTCGCCATCCTAGCAACTGCTTTTGGAGACCCTCGCGCTGGCTGGGGCTTGGGGGCCTCATCTCCTCTCCGCGTTCCAAATGCCGACAGTTACGAGGATGCCCCAAAACCCACCACCACAACGAAGGGAGTAGGTGGGTGGCCAGACTCCAAACCCTAAAACCATCCCAAACCCAAACTCCACGCCGGGTGGTGTGACCCTACACCCTAAAGGCGGGGAGAGGGAGGGGGGAGAACCATAGGGGGCACCCTGGATCACGCACGACAATCCTTTCCGCGCCCTCGAGTCGAAGGGAGGTAGAGCTCGGAAGGGCCGCTGATGTCATGCAGCGATTTGGAGTTTGGGGTTTGGGAGATGGTTTCTTATGTCAAGAACCCCTCAAGCCCGTAAAACCCGAACGCAACAAAGCCCTAGTTGATCCCAAACACCAGAAACCCTAAACACCCTAAAACGCAAGAACCCTAGGCCCTGCAACCCCTGAACCCTGGAAACTTGAAGCCAAATCGCACCGTCTTGAACTCCCTAAGGCTTCGCGAGGCTTGCAGCCCTGAACCGCTGAGCCCCACACACACCCACACACAAACAGGACAGACAGACAGACAGCAGGCAGGCAGGCACGCAGGCAGGCAGGTCGGCAGACAGGCAGACAAGCAGACAGACAGACAGACAGACAGATAGATAGAGAGAAACACAAAACTCCAAAACATACCAAACCACAAGAGAACTCAAGGAATTTTGCGGGCCCTGAATGCAGCCCAGGGGCTGTAAGGTTGGAAACACATGGGCCGAGAAGCCCATGGCTTGCAGCCGAAACGACTCTGGGGAGGGGGCGCGGGCAATCGCAACGACCCTGAGCATTCCCGAAACTCCGCAAGAAATTGTTCAAAAGCCATGCGTCCTCCAGACGCAATCAGAAAGGTCTCCTTTTTTGGGCGGGCTCGCGGGAGGAGGGGGCAATGCTCAGCTGTACACTGTACAATGGCGAGCTGCTGTCATCTTCTAGCTCACAGGATCCTGTAAACAAGGTTCCTGGAGAAGAATGCTCAGCTTCGATGAAGCCACCCTCCTGCAAGTCCGGCGTCCAAATCCACCGCGGATAATACGGCCCCGGGCCTTCTACTTCGTTACTATGCACCCCTCAGGCAGGCGGTGATCAGAGGCTCCAGCACGGGGTCGCTTGGATCGAAGCCTGGCTACCAGCACATGAGCTTCTGGCTTTCGAGTACAGAGCGAAAAGACGGCCAATTCAGGTGCTGAAGATTTCGATCGACAGAGACTCCGAAAAAAAACAACCTCCTTGTGACACTGCAAAACATGTCGCAATTTAGTCGAAACACGTGCATGCGCGGTCCAGAGCCACGCTCCTGCTCACTTTCGTTCATGCATCGCGTGTTGCCTTTGAACGGCTTGTCCCATTGTTTCTGGCCGTTCTGCCTGAATTCCTTTGGGAGTTGCATCTTCTCACCCGTCGGTTCCTTCCGGCGGGTTTTAGCAGCTGCCTGTGGAGCCTGTCACACTGACTCGTCGTAGCTGCAGTGAAGTCCCACAGCCAAGTCTGCTAAATGTTGGGGAAACATGTTTCCCTTCAGGATGTTAGAGGAAATAATCCGGCCGTGCAGCTGGTTTCCCTTGCCACGTCAGCCCACGGCTCCATCTTCATGACCATGGCCTTCAATGCCACCTTCAGCTGCCGATCCTCCTTAGCGAGCACACGTACTGCCACACAAGAACCATAGACCGCATCGGGCCTCGACAAACCTCCGCAACAAACACTACCATGCAATCAAAGGGAAGATGCAACAGAAGAGATACGCACAAACTTTGTGCATATGTGTATACATTTATATATACATATATATATGGAGGGAGGGAGGGAGGGAGGGAGGGAAGGAGGGAGGGAGGGAGGAGGGAGAGAGAGAGAGAGAGGGAGAGAGGCGAGCTTTGAAACGTGGTATATTCCGTGATTATGATAGAGGCCGCTGCTTAACTCTCACACCCGCCTCTTTCACAAATGAGAACTCCTCGGCGAAGAGCTCGGTCAGAAGCTGGCCGAACGGGCTTGTTTTGGCCTTGGCAAAGAAATCTGACTGTCGGTGGCCTGACTCCGACAAACAACACTGGACCAAGTGGAGACCCCAAGCTCATAGTGCCCAAGCAGGCGCCAAGCCCTGCATGTATTTGGGCCGTTCAGCCCAGTTACGTTGATGGCGATCTTGCACTGCACCTCATAAGGCCGCGTCTCGAAGCCGTCCAGAGGGCTCCTGGTGGGGGCAGAAGCACCGCCGACACTGTAGCGAGAATAGCCACCCTAAACCCTAAACCCAAAACCCCAAACCCTCGGCCCGAAAAATTGCCAAGGAAGCTGCTCCTCTGGCCGGGCTCATCTGCCCTCATGCGGGCCAGGAGCACGTTCTCCGGGTCGCGGAAGTTCAATAAGCGCTTCACCTGTCGCTGGCCCATAGGGCATTTGGGTTTAACGCTTTGAGGGATTTTTGGGGATTCAGGGTCGGGGTCTAAGAGGGCTAAACCGCACCAAGCCCTCCCTCTTGCTGGGACCTTCTCAAGCCGCAACAACCTGGACCTTCTACTTAAAGCCCATCTGAACCACAAACCTCAAATTCCTTCACCCAACCAAACCTCCCCGAGGCAGCCTGATCCATGACCCGCGCCATTCGGACATGCAGCGCTCCAGGGGCAAAGACCTCCAGTAGGCGCCCTGCCTTTGGAAAGGCGTGCTGAACCTCAGGGTGCTTTAGATTCGGCTAGGGGCTTTTTCTTGTGGCCACCTGTTTTTCCTTTCGAGGTGTCGGGTTTCATCCCGCGCTCTTCTCCGCTGTGCGGGCCGAGCGGCCAACGGGGCGACCTCAAGGCTCTGCTCCAGGTCCTGGAGAGTCAGGAGAGGGCCCCAAAAGGCCCGTTCTTGGGGTTTAATTTGGCTTAGGACTTACCCTTGGGGCTGCACCACGCAAACGATTGCGCTTCAGAGCTAGGGGAAGATGTGAATGCCGGGTCCTTCGAGAGCTTGTGAAATCGGTAGTACACGGCCGTCTTGATCTTCGTGTAGAGGCTGGTGCTGAGAGTTCCCTTGGTGCCCTTGGGGCTCGCATTGCAGGGGTCCATCACGTGGAAGACCCAGCCTGTCTCCCCAAGAGACTTAGTCGGAATGCTCAAAAGGGTTTGGCTTAACTTTGCGCTTTGTGACCGTTAAGAATGTCAAGAGTCAATTGAGTCTAGGTTTCATGGTAGGCTCTGCCTTCATAGTCGATAATAGCATCCTCGATCGGCTCAACCACAGCAGCCGGTGGGCAGTCTGCAAAGAACTCCTCCTTGGTGATCTCCTTCCTGGCAAGCTTCTCCAGTGCCGCCAGCATCCGAGCGACGTCATCACTGTGTGACACTGGCCAGAAGAGTGGCTCCTCGAAGGGGTGCTGAAAGCAGTAGTGAGGGTAAAACTGCAAGGTGGTGCAGCAGCTCGCTCCCAGGAAGAGTGCACGGTCACGGCCATAGCTCACAGCCAACTCCGCATGGTAATGATCGTTGAAGAGTCCCTTCTGCTGACAGACAATCACCTTCAGATGTTGGATGGACATGGCCCTTCAATTAAAACAGCAGGCAGAAGTCCTGAAAACTACGTGTGCTCCGCATCGCTACGGCACTACTGCAACAAAAGCGGTCTGTCGCACGACCGGCACCTCGAAGGACAGAGTGACGATTTCAGAAGCCAGGCTTTCCATGCTTCCACCCAAGCGGAATCGAACGAGACTCCGCACAAAATCTGTACCATGTCGCAGCAATGCATCGGCCGCTGTGCCGCCCTCCCGTTGAATCTCAAGCAGCCCGTCTCGGGTGGCTGCACCTGTGCCAACAAGGATTCCAGTGGTCATGTAGCCAACCATAAAGTCTTCCATGATTGCAACCCCGTTGGTTGCTGGAATCAGGACCAGAGCCTCATCAATTCCGCCTTCGACGCAAACATTTCGACAGAGCTGATTCCACGCCTTCACCCAGGGGCCGCCACACAGCTCCAAGATGGGCTGCCAGAGCTCTGCAGCCCTGCCGGTGGCCAAAGTTAGGGTAAACAGGGCACCATCACCCTTGAAGGAAAGATAGCCACTGATACTGCCCCCAACGCGCAGGCAGTCACAAGTCTTGATGGTCCAGTCGTCCAGGTGGCTGTAGGCATCTCCCTCGAAGTCCTGCGTCTGCTCCACACCCCAATCAGTATGAAGGAAGGACTTGACCTCTGCACCTCGGGGCAGCTTGAAGCTCAGCACCCTCACGTCGCCCAGATCCTCCGGGTTCACGAACAACACCGTCCCCCGCGCCTGCTTGGCCCAGCGGTTTCGCCACATTGCATTCCCGTTCTTCCCGTCTATGTATCTGACAACTGCCAGTGCCGCGCCCCAACTCTCGAGATTCGCCAAGATTTGGCTGCTCGTGATGAATGCCTGCATTCTGCCGGCAGAGTTTGAAGCATCAGTCACCGCGTGAATTTCTCGATACGTGTTATTGTTTTTGTTTTTTTTTTTTTTTGGGGGGGGGGGGGGGGGGGGCGGCATGCAGGGACCATTACTAAGACCTCTTCCTTGTTGCTGCTTCCGACACCTCCGACACGAGGCCCAGGGCGGCCCAGCGCGCTGCGAGAGGCCCGAAGTCCTCGAGGAAGCGGGCCTTGGCCTCCTCCTGTGTATCCACACACACACACACACACACATTTTTGCTCAATCACTTGGGCAGTGGAAGACAGGGGAAGGTGCTACATGGGCTTCGAGAGCGGCAGTGAGCTACGCGGAGTTCAAGAGTGGAGACGAAGTAAGGCTTATGTTTGCCGTGCAGGTCAAGCATCAACCACAACCTACGCCTACACCTCTACCCTCAAGCTGTCCTCGCCCATCTGTTTGAGCCGCTCTTTGTACCCAGACAGGAGCGGGTAGCCACAAAGGAATCCTTCCGACTGGTACCAGTCCTGGCCAAAGCATTCGGAATCTGTCAGCTGGACATGGCAATCTGAACAATCTTAGCACAACCCGAAAACCCTTCTGATTGCCGACTGTCTTTCATAGGATGCAGGGTCCTTGACCCTGCTCGGATCACCAAGAAATCTCTTCCGTAGGTGCGCGTGGAGCTCGGGGAGGTCCAAGTCCTTTCGAAACACATCGGATTCCCTGTCAAGAGTTGAGTGCCTACCACTGGACCACTGTCTGCTAGTCCTGTAAGATGTAAGATAAAGCATTGCAATGTCCTATAGACTCCTTGGCCTCTGAAAGCCTGCAGCACGTACCTCTGCCAAAAAGAAAGCTGTCCTTGGTATTCGCATCCAAACCTGCGTCATTCCCGATCGTGCCTCTGACCTGCACACGCTGAACAACTTGCAACATTCCGGGTAATGATCCTAACAAGCAGTCTAGGCCCCGAATGCTTCCAAGCTTATGCAAGTCCATACCCCGCCAGCCTCCTCAATGACAAGACCATGCACGGTCTGATAAGCCAT